GCGCAAGACAGGCGAGGCAGGACGAGCACGGGAGGGACGGTGGGACCAGACGTGCGACGGAGGAGTCGGGTCAGGAGACAGGGGAGGGGACACAGGAGGGGAACGAGGAGGAAGACGGGCCGGGGACGAGTCCGGCGGAGGGAACACAGGGCCGTAGACGGGAAGAGGAGGAGACGGTCGGAGAGGAACAGCCGCAGGGTCAGGGGACGGAAGGCCGAGCAGGCGAAGGGCTGACACCGGCGGGGACTGCTGCTGCGGCGGCACAACGGCGACACCGGGACTGCAAGCGGCTCCGCGGCTACCACCGGCACACTCCACACCAGCACCCCCAGAGGATCCACCCCCAGAGCTACCGGGACTAGCACCCCCAGAGTCAACGAACGGGTGCTGCGACGGCGGCGGCGGCGGCGGCAGCGACAACGACGGCTGCAGCGGCGGCAGAGGCGGTGGAGGAGGGGACTGGGGAGGGGACGCCGGGGGAGGGGCGGCCTACGCAGCAGGGCCACCAGAGTCAGAAGACTCCTCAACCGGGTCCACCGACGGAAGGGGGGTGACATGGGACACACCAGAGGGGGCAGGACGGGGAGGAGGAGGGGGAGGGGCAGGGACTACCGGGGAAGGAGTGACCAGGAACAGGGGGGGGGTAATCGGGGGACCGCGGTGGGGGAAGCAACGGTAGTAGGAGACGGACTCGTCAAAGGTGACGTCGCGAGAGTGAAAGAAGCGGTGAGACGGCGGGTGGTAAAAGTGCCAGTCAGACGCGTCAAGGGGAAAGCCGAGGAAGACGCAGGGAAGGGTGCGGGCAGTGAGCTTGTCCGTGCCGGAGGCACGGACGTGAGCAAGGCAGCCCCAGACGTGGAACGCAGACGCGTCACCAGGAGACCCAGTCCAAAGACGGGTCGGCGAAACCTGCGGCTGCTGAGGGTGCGGCCACAGGTTAAGCTGGTGAGAAGCGTAGCGCACAGCGAACGGCCACAGAAAATGGGGTGCACCGGCATGGATCATGGAGGTGCGAGCCACCTCCATGACCAAACCGATGCGTCGCTCAGCGACCCCATTCTGCTGTGGGGAGTCCGGTAGGGTGAACGTCTGGGAGATGCCCTCCGCATGACAAAAGCGACCAAGGACACCTGAAGCAAACTCGCCACCACGGTCTGAGTGAAGACGCAAGACAGGGAGACCGCGGTGGACACGCGCAGAGACAAGCCAGGGGATGAGAGCGGCAGGCACGTCGGCCTTGCGCTCCAGGGGAAAGACTGTGGTGTAACGAGTAAAGTCGTCGACAAGCACAAGGAAGTAGCGCTCGCAACGCGGCCCAGGGACGGGGGCGGGGCCCCAGACGTCCAGGTGCAGGGTCTGCAGCGGCGCGGCGGTAGGGGGAAACGAGGAGGAGTGAGGGGCACGGCGAAGCCGACCCTCGACACAAGGCGTGCAAGGTGGGGCTGGGGAGGAGGGAAACGCGGGGAGAGAACCTGGGAGACCAAGGACAAGACCGTGCTGGGACATGTGATGCAGACGCGGGAGCGCAGGGTGACCTAGGCGGTGGTGCCAAAGGAGAGTCGGGTGGGTGAGGGACCGACAGGAGCAGGCAGCAGCAACCCGGGTAGACGCAGCCACCTGAGGGAGCGCCCCAGCCGGGGGGGTCACGGTGTCTAGAGTGAACAGGCCGGACACCGGGTCCCGGGGGAACGTGGACAGGGGGGCACCCGTGGCGGCCTCGGTACAGACAGCATACCGCTCGTGACCAGGGAACGTAGTGGTGACGCCAAGGTCCTGGAGGCAGCCGACACCAACTAGGTTCCTGGAGAACGAGGGGATATGCAGACCTGTGAGAGTGCCCGAAGGAACCGCTGGACAGGGAAGGGTGGTGGAACTGCGGGCGACTACCGGACCGCCGGAGGGGTCAGCAAGAGAAACGGCAGCAGGAACAGGAAGCGGCGTCAGTGTGGTGAAGTCGCGGAAGAAACACCGGGAAGCGCCAGAGTCCAAGGTGAAGGAAAGCGAAGCAGAGGCGTCTGGCGACGGAACGACGACGGAAGCACCAAGACTACACAAAGCAGGGGATCCTACGCCTGACGCAGCAGGGGAGGCTAAGCTAGGCACACCTACACTAGCCGACAGTGAGTAATAAGCGGGAAGCACACTAGAGTCATCAGCATACATCACATGCAGAACAGAAACAATGGCATCCATGTCCATGTCAAAAATCTGAATCTTACGACTAAGCAAACTGTGCCAGTCCAGGAGGTCTGGCGACGGGCCGAAGCGCTTACGAAACAGGTCGTCCAGGCGACGAAAACAGCGGGGAGTGGAGTCACCGATCTTACCGCAAACGAAGCCGCGGCGAGGACCGGTCTGGATCTGGTACTGACAACGCACGCCTCCAGAACCACCACTCGGCACACCACCACGCGCCCGACCGCCGCCAGCGCCGGGCCACCCGGGCGGGAGGACACTCGTCTGCCTCGTCTGCGGCGGCTGCTGCGAAGGCTGCGGCTGCTGCGACTGCGGCGGCTGCTGCGGCTGCTGCTGCTGCTGCGACTGCAGGGGCGGCGGCTCAGCTGGACTGGGCAGGGTCCCCTCGTCCGCTCCAGCACCAGACGACCCGATTCCACCACCACCCCCTCCCGCACCCCCGCCTCCTCCGCCGCGCCCAACCTTGGGGCGGCGGCCCTTCCCCGAACGAAACTGCGCTGCAGCAGTAGTCTCAGCCACAGCGGCAGAGCCGTCGGAGAAAGTACACTGAGCGGGGGCACAACGCTGAAAGATAGGGACCGGCACGGTACCGCTCGCCTGGGCGATGGAGCGGTGGCGGGTCTCAATCACAGTCAGGGTGTCTACAAAGTCAGTGAGGGTGAGGTCTGCGGGGTGAATGCTAAGGAAGCGGTCGCGGGCGACAGCAAGGCGGTCAGGGAGGCGGGTGGCAAGCAGGTAAAGGGTAGAGGTAATGGGCGGCTGGTGGGCTCTAAGCTGTGCGTCAGTGCAGGCAGCGCGCCAGGTCTCATCTATCGAGCGCAGGTGGGCAGCGAGGTCAGAGACAGTGGGGAAAGACGCAAGGTCATGAAAGAGCATCGGGAGGATCAGGCGACCCACCGAGGCAGCTGGAGGGGTGGAATAGCGCTTGATGACAGCATCTAAGTAAGCCTGGGCAGTAGTGAGGGACCTAAAGCGGGGGCGCTCGGACGGGGGAAGGGCATTGCTAATGGCAAGCTGAGCGACAGCATCTCGAGAAAGCCAGACAGAGCGCGCACGGGCAGTGGCAGCAGTAGACTCGCGCTCAGTGGGTGCGGAGTCAGCGGGCAGAACAGCAGGGGGGTCTGGGCAGGGGAGCGTACTGTAAAGGTGTGCGGAAAGTGGTTCACCATCCTGCCGCTGGCCAGTGAGTTGACGCCGGAGGTTGGCAAGCCACGCCTCGAACTCCAGAGGCTGGCCTTCAGCGTCGAAGCGAAGCTCCGCCGCCATCAGGGGAAGTGCAGGACTGTACAGTGCGGTGCAGTGCAGAGCAGGGCAGTGCAGTGCGGTGCAGGGCGGTGCAAGGCGAGGCAGTGCGATGCAGGGCAGTGCAGGGCGGTGCTGTGCGGTGCAGTGTGGTACAGTGCGGTGAAAGGTGGTGGAGAACCGTACCAGGGAGAGTGCAGATCGGACGGTCGTAGGGCCGGCGAGGAAGGGCCGGAAGTTGACGCGGGGCCGGCCGGGACAAGCGCGGAAGCCGGCTCGGACGGGCGCGGGACCGGCAGGGACGGGCGCGGGGCCGGCTGGAACGGGCGCGGGGCCGGCTGGGACAGGCGCGGGGCCGGCTGGGAAATTCGCGGGGCCGGCTGGGACGGGTGCAGGGGCGGCCTGGACGGGCACGAGGGGCTGGCTGGGACGGTCGCGGGGCCGGCTGGGACGATCGCGGGGCCGGCTGGGACGGTCGCGGGGTCTGCTGGGACGGTCGCGGGGCCGGCTGGGACGGGCGCGGGGCCGGCTGGAACGGGCGCGGGGCCGGCTGGAACGGGCGCGGGGCCGGCTGGGACAGGTGCAGGGGCGGCCTGGACGGGCACGAGGGGCCGGCTGGGACGGGCGCGGGGCCGGCTGGGACGATCGCGGGGCCGGCTGGGACGGTCGCGGCGCCGGCTGGGACAGTCGCGGGGCCGGCAGGGACGGCCGCGGGGCCGGCTGGGACGGGCGCGGGGCCGGCTGGGACGGTCGCGGGGCCGGCTGGGACGGTCGCGGGGCCGGCTGGGACGGTCGCGGGGCCGGCTGGGAGCGACGGACGAGGAAGCGCGACGGGCTAGGAAAGGCGCGACGGGCTAGGGAAGGCGCGACGGGCTAGGAGTCGCGCGACAGGGCCAGGAGGCACCAACGGGGGGCCCAGGAGGGGCGTGACGGGTGCTAGGGGGCGCGACGGGCCCAGGGGAGCGTGACGGGGCCCAGGGGAGCGTGACGGGGCCCAGGGGGCGCGACGGGGCCCAGGGGAGCGTGACGGGGCCCAGGGGAGCGTGACGGGGCCCAGGGGGCGCGACGGGGCCCAGGGAAGCGTGACGGGGCCCAGGGGGCGCGACGGGGCCCAGGGGGGCGTGACGGGGCCCAGGGGGGGGGGGGCGTGACAGGGCCCAGGGGGGGGCGCGACTGGTCCTAGGTGACGCGACGGGGCCCAGGGGGGCGCGACGGGCCCAGGGGGGGGGCGCGACTGGTCCTAGGTGACGCGACGGGGCCTAGGGGGCGCGACGCACGGGGGTAGATCCTAGGGCGGAAGCGTGGGGGGGGCGGTGGGACCTACCTACTGCTGATACCATCTTAGAGCTGAAGAATAGTTGAATAGAGAGAGAGTACAAGGGTATATACCTAAGAGTGTTGTACCCTCTAAGAGGCAACCCTATACAGTCTATACAAACATGAGTTATACTTATGTTTGACATACTTTCCTACTTTCTATATATTGTTGTATGCTTGTTCTTTTAATCAATCACTTGTTCTCACATACTAGTACAAGGGTTCAACTACTCAACTTCCGCTGCACTACTCAAAGTCTCCTTTTACAACTGGGACTTAGTCTCTGGAAAGGTCCTAAGGGCATTTTCTCAGCCCAACAGGGGGAAAATAAACAAACTACAATAGAGCTAAACTGCAGGTGCAGGTCATATCATAACATCTAAAGAGCTACCACACTACACCTACCCTAATTGTAGCTGAGTTCAACCTCAAAGTAATACAGTCGGCTAGTGTGACAAAAACTAGCTGTAAGAAAACAGCAGCTGGCCCACAACCAGCACGACCAGCAGCAGCCCAAAGCACAACCTTCATAACCTACTGGTACTGGTCAGCACCATACTCCACACCTCGCGACGCGATGCTAAGCACATTGAGCATAACGAACTAAAGCATACTGGCGGGGGGGGGGAGCACCACCAATACAATACTGGTGGCAGCATGGCTCTTGTCTCATCCAGTAAGCCATTACCAACACCATCCCTCACACCAGACCTGACCCCAGCAAACAGCACCCCAGTAGGAAACAGCCTGCTTTCTACCCTAAACCTGAAACATCCCCCACCCGGAAACAGCAGCATGTCAACGCTGCTCAAATCTAAATCCGGCTTCACATCGTGAACGCGGTCCACATCTAGAGCAGCCGGAGTCATCAGCAGGAACCGCTGAGGCGGCACAAACACCAACTTCAGAAGAACTGCAACCAGCCTCGAGTCCTACACCAGCCTGCCCCCTCCCCAAGCCCCTGGAATCCCACTCCCCACTCTCGGCGTGGCAACACAGCGATCCCACCTGCACTGCTGCTGCTACCACGTCTGGCGCTACCAGAAGCCCTACACCAGCCTGCCCCCACCCCGAGCCCTACACCAGCCTACCTGAGCCCCTGGAATCCCACTCCTCACCCTCGGCGTGGCAACACAACGATCCCACCTGCACTGCTGCTGCTACCACTTCTGGCACTACCAGAAGCCCTACACCAGCCTGCCCCCACCTCGGGCCCCTGGAATCCCGCTCCCCACCCTCGGCGTGGCAACACAACAATCCCACCTGCACTGCTGCTGCTACCACTTCTGGCGCTATCAGAAGCCCTACACCAGCCTGCCCCCACCTCGGGCCCCTGGAATCCCACTCCCCACCCTCGGCGTGGCAACACTGCTGAGGTCCAGATCCGGCTTCACATCGTGAATGCGGTCCACATCTAGAGTAGCCGGAGTCATCGGCAGGAACCGCTGAGGCGGCACAAACACCCCACTTGCACTCGCACCCCCACCCCCACCTCCACCCACACCCGCACCCCCTTCCTCCGCCTCCATTCTCCTAGCCAGGCTATACCTGCTGAGCGACTTAGTGAAGAATCGCGGGTTAGGGTCAGGCCGAGCCGCCATGGCAAAGGTGTGGCTCCTGCTTCGGCCGTACGTGGCTTCTCGCATTGCTTCCATCATCTCTTCCGAAGCTAAGCCTCGGGCCGCCGGACCAAAGCCCTGGCTCATGGTCATAGCTGCCAGCAGCGCTTCGCCTGCCAGAGGCCCCGAACCTGCCGCGCTCGAGCCTGCTGCCGAACCTACCGACATGGTTCGGTCGAAGGGGCTTCCGAAAGCACCGGCGGTTTCTATGGGGCGTTTACCAGCAGCACCCCCCATACGAAGGGCGTTTTCTAGACTTTTACGGCTGGTGCCCACGCCACTAGCCAGGGCCCTACGAGCAGCAGCAGCAGGAGATTCGGAATCGGCTGCAGGGAGTGCACTGGGTGCAACCCCAGCACCAGCACCAGCAGCAGCAGCAGCAGCAGCAGCAGCACCAGCAGGGATGAACCTCCCTCCGCTGCTGGAAGGGCGGTTACCACCTGCCCCAGTCGCAGACACCAGCGGAGCCAGCATATCCCCCTTCTCCTTCTCATGCACCTCCTCCTCCTCTTCCTCATCCTGCCCCTCTCCTTTCTCCCCCTCCTCTCCTTCCATAACCTCCACCTCTGGAACGGGCTCTAGAGACGTCTCACTAACAGACGACTGCCGAAGCTGCCGCCACTCCGCAGAGGCCCGGTCCGGCTTCACCAAACCAGCCGCTGCCAGTGCCGAACCTCCTGCTGCTTCCGAGCCTGCCACTGCTCCGGTAACTGTTCCAGGTCCGGCCGAACCAGGCCTAACACTCTCCGTGCCACTCTCCCGACCACCCTCCTTTTCATTGTGAAAGCTATCTCCTGCTGCTCCCGGCGTCTCTTCATCCATAGCTGCTATGCGGCGGGGCAGGGTTTCCCAGTCGCCCACTGTTGGAACTGACTCTGAGATGCTGCGACGGGCGAGAGAGAGGGAAATGGGCGGTAGGGCTGGTTCTGCCTCTGTGGCTGCCTCTGCAGGGGCCTTCTTTGCAACAGTGCCTGCTGCTGGTGCTGCTGCTGGTGCCGCTGGTGCTGCGGAATCTTCTTCACCAGCTAGAGCAACAGCAGGGGCAGCAGCAGCACCTGAATCAGTCCTCTGCTCAGCAGCGCCAGCAGCAGCAGCAGCAGCAGCAGCAGCTGAGGGGACTGGGAACTGGAAGCTGTCTGTGGCAGAAATATCAGATCTCTCAGGCGCAGAAGCAGCAGCACCGGCAACAGAAGCAGCAGCTGTACTAGCAGCACTGGCTTCAGCAGAGGCTGCATCAGAGATGATCCTCTTGCCTGCCTCCCCTTCCTCCACTAGCAACCCATTAGCATGCACAGCAGTAGCAGCAGCAGCAGCAGCAGCAGCAGCAGCAGCATCACCACCATAACCATCACCACCAGCACCAGCACCACCAGAACCAGCAGCAGCGGCAGCAGTGGCAGCAGCAGCAGCAGCAGCAGCAGCGCGATCAGGGGAGGGGGCTCTCGGCGCGTACACGGGCGCAAGCAGCACCCCCTGGGGCACGGGGCTCCAGTCGTGGTCGGCGCTGCGGCTGGCGAGGTGCTGCAGCCCCACGAGCAGCAGCAGCACCAGGCGCTCCATCTTGAGGTGATCCACGTGCTGCAGCGTCTGCAGCAGCGTCAGGTCCGTGTGGCCCTGCACCCGGCTGTCCAGCCCATAACTGCATAGAAAAGAGGAGAAACGGGCAAAAACGGGAGGTGGGAGGGTGGGAGGAAGGGTGGGTGGGAGCAGGAAGGGGGAGTGCTGCAGTCCCAGGAGGAGCACTCCTTGGGGCAGGGGGCTCCAGTGGTGGGTGGGAAGCAAGGGAAGGGAAGGGAAGGGAGGGGTGGCGAGGTGATGCAGCCCCACGAGCAGCAGCAACACGCGGCGTTCCATCTAGAGGTGGTCCACGTGCTGCAGCGTCTGCAGGAGCGTCAGGTCCGTGTGGCCCTGCACCCGGCTATCCAGGCTGTAAACTGGAGTGAGAGAGGGAGTTGGGAGAGGGGATTATAAGGAGCCGAAACAACAACTGCGGGAGAGTGAGATCCGTGTGGCCCTGCGCTCGACTGTCCAGGCTGTAACTGGGGAGAGGTGTTCTCTGCCACGGTCACCAGCCCATCGAGTACCGCATGCAGCATGCATGCAGCCATCTTCTGGTTGAGCCCCACTCACAGACTCACATTATGGATGAAGCATGGACCCAAATGGGACCCTCTTATGGCCAACTAGTAACCCTACCAGAAGGTGTTCTCTGCCATCATCACCAGCCAGTCCAAACCCACCTGTATCTTGCACCTCGCATTATGCAGCACATGCCTAAGTGGGGCCTTCAAGCCTAAATGGGGCCTTTTAGTGGCAGTTACAAGACTTACCGGATTGTGTTCTCTGCCATGGTCACCAGCCAGTCCAACACAGCCTCCATTTTCTGCCGGATGCTGTCTGTGCTCTCCTGCACTCAAAGGAAAGGGGGCAACAAAGCCAGATAGAGAGAGGGGCAGGTGACCCCGGGGGGGGGGGGGGGGGAGGGAGGGAAGACAGAACAGGAGAAGGAAAGTTACAAGCCAGTCCAAAAATGCGCCCATTTTCTGCTGGATGCTGCCCAGCATAGAGGGAGGAGGGGGGGGGGGGGATGTGGGTGAGGGGTAAGGTAAGGGTACGCGGGTGGAGTCTATTTTTGAGGTGCCTCAAAAATAAGGGTATGCGGGTGGAGTCTATTTTTTAGGCGCCTCAAAAATAAGGGTATGCGGGTGGAGTCTATTTTTGAGGCGCCTAAAAAATAAGGGTATGCGGGTGTGCATGCGGCTAGGCGACATGCCGGATGCTTGACTGCAGCAGCGTCCACTTTAGCCTCCTCTCTCGTCTCAGCCAACTGACAGACGCAGGCAGGCAGGGAGGGAGGAGAAGAGAGAGGATGCATACGGGTCCTTCTACTTCTGTTTCGTTCACATGCCTTGCACACCTGACAGCACTTGGGGGTGCACGTCTAACACCTGACAGCCAACTTTTGAGTCGACTTTTGAGTCGACTTTTGAGTCGACATTTGAGTCAACTTTTGAGTCGACTTTTGAGTCGACTTTTGAGTCGACTCAAAAGGCACTTGGGGGTGCACGTCTAGCACCTGACAGCCCATCCCCACCCACCTGCTCTATGTCTCTTGTCTGCAGCAGCGTCCGCTTCAAACGCCAACAGACAGAAGCAGGCAGGGCGGAGAAGGAGCCATGCTGATCCTTGAGACCACACCACCCCACACCACACCACACCACACCACACCTCACACCACACCAGCATACTCACAACAACGCCCCCACCCACCTGCTCTATGTCTCTTGACTGCAGCAGCGTCCGCTTTAGCCGCCCACAGACAGAAGCAGGCAAGGCGGAGTAGAGAGCCTCTCTCTGTGTCTCCACACACGCTGGCCGCATGACCTGGGGGGAGGGGCGGAAGGGGAGAGAACGAGTAGCATTAAAGAGCAAGTGAGAAGCAGGCAGCAAGGAGAAGAGACAGAAGCAGGCAGAGCAGAGTATAAGGGAGGCGATGCTATAAGGAGGGGAAGCAGGTGGGGAGGAGTAGAGAGCCTCCCTCTGCGTCTCCACACACGCTGGCCGCATCACCTGGGGGAGTGGAAGAGTGGGGGCGTGGGGAAGGGAGAGGGGGACGATTAGGCTGCAAGAGCCACATTATGATTCTCCTGCAAAACGGGAGCCTGCTTTTGAGTCGACTCAGAAGCGGAGTGGGGGGGGGGGAGAGGGAGAGGGATGATTAGGCTGCAGGAGCCATAATGAGGCGCCTCAGAGATCTATAAAGCGGGATAAAAGCACGGGATCCAAACAAACAAGAGAGCACGCATGTACCATGGCGTCGTCGATCATGTTGACTATGTTCGCACACTGCAGCGCCATGCCATTTGCTCCCAAGATGATGTCCAACGACCAGCCCATACCATAGTAAAAGAAAGAGCACGTACCATGGTGTCGATCATGTTGACAACGTTGGTGTACTGCACTGCAATGCCCTCCCCCCACCCACGCCCACCACAGCCACGAACGAGCAACCCATACCATAGTACCAGAGAGAACGTACCATGGTGTCGATCATGTTGACAATATTTGCATACTGGAGCGCCATCCCATTCACCCCCAGCTTCCTCAAGTCAGCAGCTGTAGGAGGGGTGCCGGACATAAGTCTTCCCACCTTCACCACTGGAGAGGGCAGCAGAGAGGGCCATAAGGTGAAGGAGAGTGACGGGGAGGGGGAGTTGACAGGGGGGAAATGGAGAAGAATGGTCTGTCTTCCCATTCACTCCCAGCTTCCTCAAGTCAGCAGCTGTAGGAGGGGTGCCGGACATAAGTCTTCCCACCTTCACCACTGGAGAGGGCAGCAGGGAGGGCCATAAGGTGAAGGAGAGTGACGGGGAGGGGGAGTTGACAGGGGGGAAATGGAGAAGAATGGTCTGTCTTCCCATTCACTCCCAGCTTCCTCAAGTCAGCAGCTGTAGGAGGGGTGCCGGACATAAGTCTTCCCACCTTCACCACTGGAGAGGGCAGCAGGGAGGGCCATAAGGTGAAGGAGAGTGACGGGGAGGGGGAGTTGACAGGGGGGAAATGGAGAAGAATGGTCTGTCCTCCAATTCACTCCCAGCTTCCTCAAGTCAGCAGCTGTAGGAGGGGTGCCGGACATGAGTCTTCCCACCTTCACCACTGGAGAGAGTAACAGGGAGGGGGAGTTGCGCCACCTGCACTAGCTTCTCAGCCACCTGCACTAGCTTCTCCACCACCTGCACTAGCTTCTCCGCCACCTGCACTAGCTTCTCCGCCACCTGCACTAGCTTCTCAGCCACCTGCACTAGCTTCTCCGCCACCTGCAGTAGCTTCTCCGCCACCTGCACAAGCTTCTCTGCCACCTGCACTAGCTTCTCTGCCACCTGCACTAGCTTCTACACCACCTGCACTAGCTTCTCCGCCACCTGCACTAGCTTCTCCACCACCTGCACTAGCTTCTCCGCCACCTGCACTAACTTTTCCGCCACCTGCACTAGCTTCTCCACCACCTGCACTAGCTTCTCCGCCCCCTGCACTAGCTTCTCCGCCACCTGCACTAGCTTCTCCACCACCTCCACTAGCTTCTCCACCACCTGCACTAGCTTCTCCGCCACCTGCACTAGCTTCTCCGCCACCTGCACTAGCTTCTCCGCCACCTGCACTAGCTTCTCCGCCACCTGCACTAGCTTCTCCGCCACCTGCATAAGCTTCTCCGCCACCTGCACTAGCTTCTCCACCACCTGCACTAGCGTCTCCGCCACCTGCACTAGCTTCTCCGCCACCTGCACTTGCTTCTCCGCCACCTGCACTAGCTTCTCCGCCACCTGCACTAGCTTCTCCACCACCTGCACTAGCTTCTCCGCCACCTGCACTACCTTCTCCGCCACCTGCACTAGCTTCTCCGCCACCTGCACTAGCTTCTCCGCCACCTGCGGTGGTAGTGTGCGTGCTACAGTTCACCACAGTTCAACTTGTGCTCTGGTAGCACGCGAGTCCCACACCATCTCTCTTCAACTCACCATCAGCCCCAAACACGTCCGCAATCTGATCGTGCAGGAACACCACCACCTGCGGTAGCTTCTCCACCACCTGCAGTGGTTACCACCAGTGCTACAGTAACTCTTCTGAACGGCTTAACATACCGTAGTAACTCACCATCGGCCCCAAAGACATCAACGATCTGATCGTGCAGAAACACCACCACCTGCACTAGCTTCTCCACCACCTGCAGTGGTAACATAACGGGTGTGCAGTGTAGACAACACGGAAGACAAGATCACCGTTAAGAAAAAAAAAAGGATGTCATCCTTTGAGGGGTCTCAAAAATAGATTTCACTACCAACCACCTCACTCACCACCCACCTCATCCATGGTTTTGGACCAGAGCCCTTTCTTCTTCATCGTCTTCACTATCTTCTCCTGCGCCTTTATCTCTGCTCGCATCTGCGCTATCAGCTCTGCATGGGCATGGGCATGGGCATGCATGGGCATGTGCATCCGCATGGGCATGTGCATGCATGGGCATGGGCATGCATGGGCATGGGTATGGGTGGGTGGAAGAACATGGCATGAGCAGAGGTCAGACGGGTCTCCTGCGCCTTCATTTCTGCTCGCATCTGCGCTATCAGCTCTGAGAGGGGAGCATGGGCATGGGCATGGGCATGGGCATGGGCATGCATGGGCCTGTTGAAGAGACCCCAGTCCAGTCTCCAGCTTTCCAGCTCATGGTCTGAAGCTCATGTGCTGAAGCTCATGGTCTAAAGCACCTCACTCTTACCTTTCATGGCAAATCCTCACCTCTGTTGACAGCAGAATCTGAGTCCTGTTTCATCCGCCTATCCAGTGCCTGTTGCAGCGACTCCAGATTTGCCAACTCGTGATATAGCTCCTGATAACAGGGAAGGGGGGGGAAGCAAGACTTGAATTATTGCGGCGCCTGTTGCAGCGACTCCAGATTTGCCAGCTCGTGATACACCTCCTGATTAGCAAGGAAGGGGGGAAGGGGGGAAGGGGGGAAGTGGGGAAGGGGGGAAGTGGGGAAGGGGGGAAAGGGGGAGGGGGAAAGAGTCTATTTCTGAGGCGCTTAAAAATGATCCGCCTATCCAGTGCATGTTGCAGCGGCTCCAGATTCGCCAACTCGTGGTATAGTTCCTGATTAGGAGGGGGAAAGGGAGAAAGAGGGGAGGGAGAGGGAGCGAGGAAGGTGGAGTTGGGGGAGGTGGAATTGGGAGAGGGTGGGGAGGGGAGTTAGGGAGGGGGAAGCGGGAGGGGGAGAGGGAAGGGCGGGAAAGGAGAGGTTGAGAAGTCTAAGAGAAGTAATGCATCTGTTTTTCATCAAGTCCAGCAGCCCAGCAGAGGTTGAGAAGTCTAAGAGAAGTCAACGCAACAGCCCCCCACTCACCGCCGTCACTTGCACCTGCCCCTCCAGCGCCCTCAGTCCCCCCTCCACCTCTGCTGCTGGCAGCCAAGAGTCAAACCCACGAGTCAACTCATGCATGAGTCAACGCAACAGCCCCCCACTCACCGCCGTCACTTGCGCCTGCCCCTCCAGCGCCCTCAGTTCCCCCTCCACCTCTGCTGCTGGCAGCCAAGAGTCAAACCCACGAGTCAACTCATGCATGAGTCAACGCAACAGCCCCCCACTCACCGCCGTCACTTGCGCCTGCCCCTCCAGCGCCCTCAGTTCCCCCTCCACCTCCGCTGCTGTCATGCGGCTCTTGGGGCCCTCCATGGTGCCCAGACTGTGGAGGAAGGGGGTTGGGGAGAGGAAGGGGATACTAGAGTTTGTGCTTGGAGCAGACGCATTGTTGGGTCCCTCCAGGCTCCAGCGCTCTCAGTTCCCCCTCCACCTCCGCTGCTGTCATGCGGCTCTTGGGGCCCTCCATGGTGCCTGCCCAGACTATGGAGGAAGGAAGGGAAGGGGGGAGGGGGAAGCAGGGAGGTGGCACAAGAGAACGATGGGCGTGATGTCACTCATGGTCTTGGGAACGATGGGCGTGACGTCACTCATGGTCTTGGGAACGATGGGCGTGACGTCACTCATGGTCTTGGGAACGATGGGCGTGACGTCACTCATGGTCTTGGGAACGATGGGCGTGACGTCAGTCATGGTCTTGGGAACGATGGGCATCAAGAGGGCCAACAAGGCACACTCACGCATCAAACTTCCCACACTCACGCATCAAACTCCCCACACTCATGCATCAAACTCCCCACACTCACGCATCAAACTCGCCACACTCACGCATCAAACCCCCCACACTCACGCATCAAACTCGCCACACTCACGCATCAAACTCCCCACACTCACGCATCAAACTCGCCACACTCACGCATCAAACTCCCCACACTCACGCACCAAACTCCCCACACTCACGCATCATCAACCTTCCAACACTCACGCATCAAACTCCCCACACTCACGCATCATCAACCTTCCAACACTCACGCACCAAACTCCCCACACTCATGCATCATCAACCTTCCAACACTCACGCACCAAACTCCCCACACTCACGCATCATCAACCTTCCAACACTCACGCATCAAACTCTCGAGTCAGGGAATGCAGTGCCGGGTTGGAACACCGCTAGCAAAGCCGTCCTACATGCATGCGCACAGACCCTCACGCATCACCTTCCAACACTCACGCATCAAACTCTCGAGTCAGGGAATGCAGTGCCGGGTCGAGACACTGCTTGCCAAGCCGTGCCACGTCCCTTGCCACGGCTCTTAACTCTCCTCTGTGTGGGAAACGTGAGAGATACAAGGAAGAAATAAAGGAGAGGCAAGGGAGAAATAAGGGTCAAGAGAGTGTAGGGTGGAGACACTGCTTGCCAAGCCGTGCCAAGTACCTTGCCACGGCTCGTAACTCGCACCTGCATGCGAGCCAACCTGCATGCGAGCCAACCTGCATGCGAGCCAACCTGCATGCGTGCCAACCTGCATGCGAGCCAACGGGGAGGGAGGGAGGGGGAAGAGACGCGGGAGAGAGATGGATGAGACATGGGGGAGGGAGAGATGAGGGTGAGAGGGGGAGGAGAGGTGGGATACCAGAATCCCTTTCCAGCAGTGGCTGGCGCAGGTTGATTGATCGACCTAGTCATCGCCCCCCATCCCCATTCCCCCCACAGCGCCTACCTCTTGTCCTCTGCTGCAATGCACCACACGTGGTAGAAGTCGTCTGAAACGAGCATTCTGATCCATTCAGACGCCAGCACTTGTGCTCTTAAATCCTTGATATCCCTCTCAGCAGCGACTGGTGCAGGTTGATTGATCAGCCGACTCATCCCTACCCCATAGCCCCCCCATGCCCCATCTCCCATTCCCCACAGCACCCACCTCTTGTCCTCTGCTGCGATGCACCACACGTGGTAGAAGTCATCCGAGATCAGCATCCTTATGCCCTCAACTCTAGTATGTATACACGTCCCACCCACCTCTTGTCCTCTGCTGCAATGCACCACACGTGGTAAAAGTCATCAGACACCAGCATCCTGATTCCTTCAGACGCCAGCACTTCTGCTCGTAGATCCTCGATGTCTCTCTCCAGCAGCGACTGGCGCAGGTTGATTGCCCGCACGATAACGTTCGCCACTTCAAACCCCATCACCTCGATCCTGGTAGAGGGCAGAGGGGATAAATAGGACATGCAAATCACGGGGGGGGTTGACTGGCGCAGGTTGATTGCCCGTACTATCACGTTTGCCACTTCAAACCTCATAACTTCTGGGCTTGAAGCTGGCAGCCTGGCAGGCGTGCGCAGCTCTCCTGCTGAGGCGCATGACAGTACTTGGATTGTTACATGGCGCCTTGAAAGACGCAAAGTACTTTGGACTCACTTGCCCTTGGAGCAAATGAGCTTGAAGCTGGCAGCCTGGCAGGCGTGCATGGCTCTCCTGCGGAAGTCTGTGCTACACTGAGGCGCATGACAGTACTTGGGTTGTTACATGGCGCCTTGAAAGACGCAGAGTACTTGGGACTCACTTGCCCTTGGAGCAAATGAGCTTGAAGCTGGCAGCCTGGCAGGCGTGCGTGGCTCTCCTGCTGCAGTTTGTGCTACGCTGAGGCGCATAATAGTACTTGGGGTGTTACATGGCGCCCTGAAAAACGCACAGGGTTTGAGACTCACTTGCCCTTGGAGCGGATGAGCTTGGAGCCGACCGGAGTGCTCGCCTCCTCTGCTGCAGGCTGTTCCCTGGAAGCCAGGCACATGAGAAGGGGAGGGGTGAAAACGGTAAGTTTAGGGATAAGGGCGGGGTCTGTCTGGTTACATGGCCGTTACATGGCGGTGTTGTAGCTTACAGTGTTGTGGGTGAAGCAGCAGGTGCTGCGGCAGCGCCAGTTGCTGAGGCTGAGGACTGCGAAGACTGTCGGGAGGGAGGCTGCTAGACACATCAAAGCAGTTCCATGGTGGCTACATACACGGAGGTGAGGTTGCATGGTGCTTCGTGACTCACAGTGATGTGGGTGAAGCAGCAGGTCCGGCAGCGCCAGCTGCTGAGGCTGAGGACTGTGAAGACTGTCGGGGAGGAGGGCTGCTAGGCTAGACACGTCACAGCAGTACATACATGGAGGTGAGGTTGCATGGTGGTTCGTGACAGTGACTCACAGTGATGTGGTGAAGAAGCAGGTGCAGCAGCGCCTGTCGCTGAGGCTGAGGACTGTGAAGACTGTCGGGGAGGAGGGCTGCTAGACTAGACACGTCACAGCAGTACATATATGGAGGTGAGGTTGCATGGTGGTTCGTGACAGTGACTCACAGTGATGTGGTGAAGAAGCAGGTGCAGCAGCGCCTGTCGCTGAGGCTGAGGACTGTGAAGACTGTCAGGAAGGGGGGCTGTTACGTCAAAGCAGTTACATGGTGGCTACATTACATGGAGGTGAGGTTGCATGGTGGTTCGTGACTCACAGTGATGTGGGTGAAGCAGCAGGTCCGGCAGTTGCTGAGGCTGAGGACTGCGAAGCCTGATGGAGAGGGGGGAGCAGGGCGTCGAGAGGGGAAGCAAGCAGAGTGGCGCATTGTAATAGAGAAAGCAGCGCCTGCTGCTGAGGCTGAGGACTGTGAAGACTGTCGGGGAGGGGAGCAGGGCACAGAATGGCGAGAGGGGATGCTAGCGGAGTGACACATTGGAATGAAGAAACGGTGCAACGGAGTCTAGGTTTGAGGCGCATCAAGACGCTGCAGCGCCTGCTGCTGAGGCTGAGGACTGTGAAGAATGTTGGGGAGGGGAGCAGAGCAGGGCACAGAATGGGAACAGATGGGGGAACCATTGTCGCAATAAAACATGCACACGGGGGCAGCAGTGAAACAGTGACAACAGTGTGACGGTGGCAACAGTGAAACGGCGTCACCCGCGAAACCGTGACACTAGTGAAAAAGTCTTACAGAGGCTAGAGTTTAACTGCAGCACCACAGCAGAAGAAAGGGGGAGAAAGGGGAGGGGGGGAAAGGCGAGGGGGTGAAGGAAGAGCAGCTGATACAGATTAAGGGAGGCAAACCAGGGGCACGGATGGGGTTGGGTTGCATGACCCAGTGATGGGATGTACAATGCACATTATCGAGTCAGGTCATATTAGGGTTTGCTCCAAACTCGTGGTAGCCGATTAAGGTTTGCTCCTTTCGGACGGTAGCGGGTTAGGGTTTGTTCCAACCCGCAGCTAGGTTTTGCTCCAACCTGACGGTAGCTGGCTAGGGTTTGCTCTATCCTGACGGTAGCTGGCTAGGGTTCGTTCCAACCTGACGGTAGCTGGCTAGGGTTTGCTCCATACTAGCTGTATTCCTTACACCTCACGGCTACTATCACACCCTAAACGGTTTAGCCCAGCATAAAGTAATACCTTGAGTACTCTAAGTACCGTGGTTACTCGCACGACAATAGTACCTTGAATCCGAGGACGGCCCCCGTTGGGAGGCAGTGGATTCCCGTCGCTTCCCGAGGCGACGCCTCCACGCCTTTGTCGTCGGCGTCGTCCGTGCTGTCACCCTGATCGTCCCTGCGACGGCTTTTACTGAAAAGCGACGGCAAGCGACCCGAAGCCGACTTTCCGCCCGTCGCGTCGTCAATGCTACGACCCGAAGCCCCCTTGGCTCGCGATTGCAATGTTTCGTCAAACTTCGCCGATCCACTTCCATCTTCGTTGATTCCGTCGGGTAACGGGTCCTTGACAGCTGGTTTGGATTGTATGCACCCCATACGGCGATGGCTAGGGCTAGGCTAATACCGCGAAGCTCAATAACGCGGCATCATCCGATTACTTGCTCGGTCAACCGTAAAAGAGGATTGGTCGCAGCGTGGTAAGTAAAAATACTGAATGTAGCAGGCCTAGAGACCTAGGAATAATGGAATAGAAAACAAGTTCGCATGGAACTCTCAACGGAATAAATACGATCGAGTACGTCGCGCGTCAGGACGCTATTGTCGTCTAACGGCAATGCAGCATGAGGACTTCACGCTACTACTTCCCATGGGGGAAAACGTGAGTCCCCAGGTAGGAGAAACAATGGCGTTGCTAGACACGTTAGACCTAATAAAGTACGTGTCGAGAATAAGAAGGCGAGGCGAGGTGGGAGAGAAGCAAAACTCCTATTGGCTAGAACGCGGAAAAAGGATGATCAAAATTCTAGGCACAAGCATATCATGTCCGTGGCATGTCCAGTCCGCTGCCAGCGTGCTGACGGCAGTAGCAGGTCACTCTACGCACTACCCGCACTACCCGCACTACCCCCAACCAACTGACAAGCGGAGAGGTGGAAAAAAAAACATACAGCTCGAGCTAGTAGAAAGGGAGCTTTAGCTGCTGTACCTTCAGTGGCTGTGACATGACAACTCCCAGGGCAATCAATAAGCAGCAGCCATGGCTCATGGCCTTATCAGAGTGTCTGTCTGACCTGACCTGCAAAATTGACTTGGGAAAGTCTGTGTTTTGTACAACAAAATCGAGGGTCGACAAAATTGAGGGTCAACCAACCAACCAACTAACACTGCTTCCAATTTGGGAATTAGCAAACGAGCCGGACAGCTAGGTTTGTTCCGAGCCGGAGCTGCGGAAGCCACCAAACCATCAGCCCCTCATGACCAAAACATGGCTTGCGAGGTACGGGTGATTTTCCAGCCAATGGGTTTCGAGCCAGCCTGGCTAGCTGCTTGTCGAGCCTGAAATCACGAGCCCAAACCGTTCTTGTGTTAGCTGGAACCTCCACCAGCCTGCGGGCTCCTCCAGAGACAGCCAGACACGAAATATGTTCGAAGATGAACCAATCGCAGGTACAGTTGAATATTGTTCGAAGAAACAAATAAAACCTATTTATTGAGATAAAGGAAAACATATATATCATAATCCCCATCACTTTTGCACACACGTTTAGGCTGCAATATGCGTTTCTACGGATTTCTTGGTAGACAATTGTTCCCTTCATGCCAGCCTTTTTACATGCCGGTATCATACTCGTCCTCTTCCTCTTCCTCCCTCTCCATCCTACTCTTCCCCTTCCTCTATTTCCTCTCCTTCACAGTCCTCCTCGTTCTCTTCTTCCTCGTCCTCTTCATCCTCACCCTCCTCTTCCTCCTCGTTTTCCTCCTCTTCATCCTCCTCTTCATCCTCCTCCACATCCCCCTCCATTTCTTCATCATCCTCCTCCTTCACCATTTCCCCCCCTTTCTCCATCCCTCCTCCCCCCTCCTCCCTCTCAAGACCCTCCTCCGACTCATACTCCACCCCATCCTCTACCTCCTCCCCCTCTCCCTCCTCCTCTCCCCACACCTTATACCCCAGAAACATCACCATGCGTTGCAGCACCTCTACCTCCATCTCCTTATGCACTAGCCTCCTCCTTAACTCTCCCACATCAGCCCCATCATACAAACTTCCACCACCCCGCGTCCCATCAACCCCACCTACCCCTCCTTCTGTCTGCACCTGGGCCAATCTCTCTCGCTCTCCCTCCTCCTTCTGCTGCTGCTGCTGCTGCTGCTGCTGCTGCTCCCGTTTCCTTGTCAGTCGCATGATCAGCTCTCGAATCGCTCGCTCCATCCCCTCCTCCCCCACCTCAAACTCCACCTCCTCCCCTCCCTGCTCCCTCCCTCCCTCCACTCTCCCCCCCTCCACCGCAGCCACTGCATCAAAATAACTGCTCTTTAAAAGACTTTCAACTAAGTGCTCGTCTGTATCGTCGATAGTAAGCAGCTGCTGCCACTTAGCCTTCATATCCGCTCTGACCCTCTCCATAATCTCATCTCTCACCCTCGTTTGCTCGCGTTGCCACGCCTCCTCCTCTGCCCTCCGCCTTTCAACCATCTCCTCTTCCGCACTCTTTCCTACCTCCCCACCCTCCTCGTCCTCCTCTCCTGTCACCACACTCCCCACCTCCTCCTCCTCCCTGCCCACCAGCACATCCCACACATCATCCGCATCCTCACACACTAGAGTCAGCTGCTCTCTCATGGCTCTCAGCATCTTCGCACCAACCCCGTGTAACATGCGGTTACCATCCCCGCCGCACGCCACTATCACCTCCTTTGCAGGCCGGTAAACAGGGGTTACGGCACCTGGTCTTGTGTTTCTTCCTTCTCCCCCCCCAGCCATGGCTTGTGCTGGTGTGCTACTGTTACTGCCGGTGCTCCTTCTGTAATCTATGAAGTAGATGTGCTTCTGTAGGTGCTCTGGTACAGGGACCCTCTTTCTCCACCGCCCCCAGGGGTCCTGAGGAGAGAGGCAAGGGCAGGTATTGGAGGGAAGGGAAAGGAAGGCAGGGAGGACGGGACAGGGGCGGGTCAGAACCATCGTCGTATCGACTTGCTTACTGTAGCACACCTACTTAGAGGGGAAGGGAAGTACAAGGAAACAATCTATTACCTTGCATAACAAATCTATAAACTTTCAAATTGAGTTCATTCACTCGTTTATTTACCACATATCAACTTTGGTTACCAAGCCTATTGATGTGCTTACCGAATCGTTCAGCTTGCCTACCACTTCTATCACTTCAGGCAGTGAGTGAAAGAGCGCGAGAGCAGGTGTATTTTGAGTCGACTCAAAATACACAAAGAGCGCGAGAGCAGAGGAGGGGAAGAGGAAGTGTATGCGTTGGGGAGAGGAGAGAAAAGCTCCTCCATCTCTCCTAATCACAGCCTCCTGGCTTGCTTACCACTTCCACCTCCCCTGGAAACGAGTGGAAGAGTGGGAGAGCGGAGGACAGGAAGGGGCAATGCACAGAAGAACAGCACCCCTCTATACCCCTCTATACTCCTCCAATCCTCCAATCTAACTTGCTTGCCGAGTCTAAACTATTCCTTGTCATGCTTACCGCTTCTATCTCCCCAGGTAGAGAGTGAAAGAGCGCCAGAGCAGAGGACGGGAAGGGGTAGTGCACGCGGGCAAAGCAGCCGTCCCCTCTGCTGCTGAGCCGGGGTTTCTGGGGTTGTAAGAGTAGGGAGGAAGGAGGAGTAGGGAGGAAGGAGGAGTAGGGAGGAAGGAGGAGTAGGGAGGAAGGAGGAGTAGGGAGGAAGGAGGAGTAGGGAGGAAGGAGGGGAAGGGAGGAAGGAGGAGTAGGGAGGAAGGAGGAGAAGGGAGGAAGGAGGAGTAGGGAGGAAGGAGGAGTAGGGAGGAAGGAGGAGTAGGGAGGAAGGAGGAGTAGGGAGGAAGGAGGAGTAGGGAGGAAGGAGGAGTAGGGAGGAAGGAGGGGAAGGGAGGAAGGAGGGGCGCTAAAAAACGTTAGTGTGAGAGGAAGAGACAATGTGGGGGGGGGGGTTCAAGTTCGGAGGAGGGGAAGGGGAAGTGCATGTAGGCAAGGCAGCCGTCCCCTCTTTGCTGCTGAGCCGAGGTCTTTGGGAGGGATAGAGAAAGGGAGGGATAGAGAAAGGGAGGAAAGAGAAAGGGAGGGATAGAGAAAGGGAGGGAAAGAGAAAGGGAGGGATAGAGAAAGGGAGGAAAGAGAAAGGGAGGGATAGAGAAAGGGAGGAAAGAGAAAGGGAGGGAAAGAGAAAGGGAGGGAAAGAGAAAGGGAGGGAAAGAGAAAGGGAAGAAAGAGAAAGGGAGGAAAGAGAAAGGGAGGAAAGAGAAAGGGAGGAAAGAGAAAGGGGGGAAAGAGGGGTGATGAGGTGCGTTTGTGTGAGAGGACGAGACAAGCGTGGGGGTACGATCTTCAGAGGAGCGGAAGGGGCAATGCACCAGGAGTCTATTTTTGAGGCGCCTCAAAAATAGAATCTTCAGAGGAGCGGAAGGGGCAATTCACCCGTCCAAAGCGGACTTGTTCACCTGCTGAGTCCAGGCCGAGGCCTGCGAAGAGAGAAGAGGGGGGGAGGCAGGAGATACACAAGGGAGGGAGCATGTTAGTGCGAGGGGATAAGACAGCGGGAGGGGCGAGGGCGCAGGAAACGATTTTTGAGGCGCCTAAAAAATCGATGTTTGAGGCGCCTAAACCATCGATGTTTGAGGCGCCTCAAAAAGAGATACACAAGGAATGGAGCGTGCTAGTGTGAGGGGATAAGACAGCGGGAGGGGCGAGAGAGCGGACGAGGGAGAAGGAAGTGCCGTCGCCTCAAAGCAGCCGTCGCCTCTGGTGCTAAAACATAGCAGTGCGTCACCCTACATGCCCTCATGCTCTCATGCCCTCATGCCATGCTAATACATCATCCATCATCCTGCCATTCCTACCGGCACCATACCATCATGTCAGCATACCGGCACCCATGGCAGCATACCGGCACCCATGGCAGCATACCGGCACCCATGGCAGCATGCCATCCTCATCCTCCTTCTACCCTTGAATGAACCCATGTGCTCACACCTTCATGCCGCCATGCCAAGTCCTTACATCAGCCCATCATGTCAACCTACTGGCACCCATGGCAGCATGTTGGCCTCATCCTCCTCCTGCCTGCCCTGGCTCCCATGTGCTCATGCCTTCACGCCTTCATGCTTCTATGCCATTACATGCCATGCCATTACACACCATACCATCATCCCATCATGGCAACATACATACTGGCACCCATGGCAACATGTCGTCCTCATCTGCCTCCAGCCCTGGCACCCATGTGCTCATGTCCCTTCACTGCCTACGCATCAAGGTACCATCATCCCACAATCTCTTCCTACCAGTACCCATGGCAGCATGTCATCCTCATCTGCCTCCTCCCCTGGCACCCATGTGCTCATGCCTTCACGCCTTATTCCAACATGCCATACCATGCCATTACACACCATACCATCATCCCATCATGGCAACATACATACCGGCACCCATGGCAGCATGTCATCCTCATCTGCCTCCTACCCTGGCACCCATGTGCTCATGCCTTCACGCCATGCTATCATGTCATCATTCCATCATGACATCATGTCAACATACCGGTACCCATGGCAGCATGTCATCATCATCCTCCTCCTGCCCTGGCATCCAGATCCTCGCTTCTTCATCCTCTGATCCCCCCTCCTCCTCCCCTTCCTCCTCCCCTTCCTCCTCCCCTTCCTCCTCCCCTTCCTCCCCTTCCTCCTCCCCTTCCTCCTCCCCTTCCTCCTCCCCTTCCTCCTCCCCTTCCTCCCCCCCTTTCCCCTTCCCCTCCTCTTTCCCCTTTCGCTTCCCCTTCTTCCCATTTCCTCCCTTAATTGATCCCTCCTGCACCCCCTCCTCCTCCTCACCCGTCTCCTCCTCCTCTCTCCTTTTCTCTTCTCTCCTCCTCCTCTCGTAGTGCGCCAACAAGGCAAGAACCATCTCTGCAGTGGTGCCACGTGGCAGCATGTCAATGGTCAGCTCGCGCATCAGCTGGTTGCTGACCTGGCAAGGGAGAGAGGAGTAGGGGGGGAGGAGAGGGGTGTGAGGGAGGAGAGAGGGTTGTGAGAGCGGGGAGGATAAGGGAGGAGAAGTGAGAGGGAGGAGAAGCAAGAGAGAGAGAGAGAAGCCAACTAAGGAAAGCATAACTTAAGTTGCTGATCCAAATTTCGAGCACCGTGAGTGATTGCTTTGGACATACAAGAGCCTTACCTTGATGGGTGCTTACTAAGCACCCATCAAGGTAAGCACTTGTACGTCCCAAGCAATTATAAGCACTTCAACAATAATTGCTTTACTTTCGTCTATGGAGGGCGTGAGCACACTCACAAGCGCGTATAGGGGTTGTATGGGCGAGGTGAGGAGGGCTGGAACGCTGATGGCCCTCTGAACCGAGCAAGCGTGGCCGATTTAAAGTGCACATTTCACACGTGCTGTGAGTGGTCCGAACTCACAAGCACGGATAGGGGTTGGATGGGCGGGGGGAGGGGGGCTGGCGTGCTGATGGCCTTATGAACCAATAGGACTGGAACCAACGAGTCTTCCACGCTGTCGTGTTCGTGGCTCAGGCAGGCTTGTGTTGGTTGGATCACTGAGAGTCTTGAGAGGGCTCGTTTAGAACTCACAAGCGCAGATAGGGGTTGGATGGGCGACGGGAGGAGGGCTGGCGTGCTGATGGCCATCTGAACCAAGCGGACTGGAACGAGGGAGTCTTCCACACTGTCGTGGTGCGACGTGCTGCCCTGCCGCATCTTGTAGCCCAGGGCGCGCTGAATGAATAGGCAGGGGGAAAGAAGGTGTGGGGGGGAGGGGGGGGGGGAAGGAGGGGAGGGGGAGTTGCGTGGTGGACATGTTGGGACCATTACTGTTTGTGACTTCCTTGAAAAATGATGCTACGGCATGACTCACCAGAGCAGCGAGGGCGAGAGGCAGTTGCACGGTGGACATGTTGGGATAAAAGGAAGTCAAGAGTTTCTATCTCTTTTTTAAGGTTGAACTAATAAAGCAACCGGCATGACTCACCAGGGCGACGAGGGCGAGGGGCAGTTGCACGGTGGACATGTTTGAGTCGATGGAAGAGTAGCGGAAGAGGAGAGACGTGTCAATGACCAACGGATGGTCTATCTTCAGTACTGCAGTCACAAGCACAAAGAGAAACAGGAGGAGGCAGTTGCACGGTGGACATGTTTGAGTCCACGGAAGAGAAGCGGAAGGAGGGATGTGTCGATGACCAGCGGATGGTCTATCGTGAGCACTGTGCACGGACACATACAGGGAGCAAAAACGGAAAGAAAAAACGAAGACGCAACACCAAAAAAAGGTGACATCTCAAAAAGTTTCTAAAGCAATAAATGGGCGGTGCTGGCCGGCTTTGAGACGTCTTAAAACGCGCTTTGGAGCAAGAAAGGGGTTTTTTTTAGTCGAATCAAAAGCAAGAAAGGGGTGTTGGTCGGCCAACGGATAAGAGTGCTTTTGAGGCGCCTCAAAAGCGTTGGTTGGTCGGCCCCTTCCAAGAGTTCTCTTCTCACCGTCGAATTTGGTTTTGAGTCAAATCAAAACCAGAAAGGGGTGCCCAGGTGATCCCATCCAAGAATTCTCAACGTCCAGTCAGCATCATTTGGATCAGGTGATATTTGAAATGTTAGGGGTGATCAGGTCAATCTTTCACGTCATCAAGTCCAGCATCCACGTCATCCAACATGCCTTCCACGTCAGCAGGCTCACCGTCCATGTCACCGGACACGTGATGGCCCACGAGCACAGTAGTTGGCGTTAGGAGAGCCACCACGTCACGCTGTCAGGTTCATGGGGAAGGGATCAGAAGGGGGAAGAAGGAACGGTGGAGTTCAGGTGTATTTTGAGTTCAGGTGTATTTTGAGTTCAGGTTAATTTTGAGTTCAGGTGTATTTTGAGTTCAGGTTAATTTTGAGTTCAGGTGTATTTTGAGTCGACTCAAAATACACCAGAAGGGGGAAAAGGGAACGGTGGAGTTCAAGTCGAAGCATGAAAAAGACTGGAACCCAGTGTAGGTCTATGGTTGTGATTATAAGGAAAGTAGTAGCTGGTTTCCTCCAACTTTTGATCAACCCATTTTCTCAGGCTCTTTAACCTACCAAGTGTCATCACCCAGAATTTCGACTCCAACAGAGAAATCTCCAAAAGACGGAAGATTGGGAAGATTGGGTCTTTCTCTTTCGGTTTCGACACACACATACAGCCGATTACAGAAGCGGCCGTTCGTAAACATGCAGCGTCACTGATAAGAGAAACACTTAAAACACTCACCTGTGCATCCTCCCAGGTGTAAGTGACTTTCTCAAAATCCTCCTCCTTCAGGCCTGTGATCTCAGTCACGTATGACTTCACCTCCCTCTGTGGCTTCACTAGACGATCCAGAAGCACCTGCAGTGCAGTGGGGAGGAGAGAGGAGTAAGTTTGTTCGTGTGTGTGTGGGGGGGGGGGGCGGGGGGGTGGGGGGAGGGAAGGGGGGGGAAGGGGGAGGAAGGGGGGGGAAGGTGGGGGAGGGGGATGAAACCAATGGATTGAACGAACAGCTTCACAGTCGTCTTCTTTTCTCGGGCATGAGACGGCACGAGATTGTGATGGTATGAGACGGTATGAGACGGTGTGAGACGGTGTGTGAGAACAAAGCAGCAGAGGAGATGTATAGCACCGCACTGTGCCAGATTGAACCGCACACACACTGTACATCCACACTCACGGAGCTCCACGGGTTCCTCCTCGTCCCACGTCGGATCGCAATGTACTACTGCATGGTACCGCACAGTGCTGCATTGGACCGCATTGGAGCGCATCGCATCGCCTCTCACCTTGCCCTTGCCATCCAGGACAGACACTCTTGTCAGCTCCATAGTTTCCTCCTTGCCTGACGTCAGATTGTAACGTACTACCACACTGCACCGCACCACACTGTAGCGCATCTCACCTTGCCATCGACAACCGACACCAGGGTCAGCCCCATGGGCTCCTCATCGTCCCAAGTCCCACACATCTCACAATCCATCCCCGCCAACCTCAGCTTCTCCGTCCCTTTAGGTCACCATTGAGCCATACGTCACCGCAATGGACTGCATCATACCGCACTTCACCGCTTCTCACCTTCCCTTTTCCATCGACCACAGAGACTCTGGTCAGCTCCATGGGCTCCTCATCGTCCCAAGTCTCACACATCTCACAATCCATCCCCACCAATCGCAGCTTCTCCCTCCCCTCCTTCGCCTTCTCCTTCCCCTCCCTGGTCTCTCTCCCCATCTCCTCTACATTCTCCTTTCCTCCCTCCGTCTCCCTCCCCTTTTTCGTTGCCTTCTTTTCCTCAGTCTCCTTCCCGTCGGGACTTGCTTCGTTGCCCTCACTGCTGTCTGCAGTTTGACTGCTGTCCGTGTAAACCCAGCCCTGGGGAACAAAACAGAAAACCGGGCAGAAAACACGCACACACACACACACACACACACACACACACACACACACACACACACACACACACACACACACACACACACAAAAACACACATCCGCAAACTCCAGCTTAAAAGAGGTAAGACAGGTCTTTTCGCACAGCATTCGTTTGTTCCGCCCAAAGGGAAAACAACATTCTTTTAGCACAACATTCGTTAGGGACAGTCACAAGTTCGGTCAGGGAAATATTTTTTAACGCGTCTATCCTTGCCTTAGCTGATGCTCCAATATGTGGGGTATGCTTTAAAGGCGTCTCAGACGCACGCAACATTAGGATATTTCATATTAAACCCGAATAACGAGCTTAGTTGACTCTCCCCACCCCACCCCCCCCCCCCCCCCCCCAAAAAAAAAAAACCAACAACAACAAATATTAACTTGCGTATGCAACTTACATCCATAAATGAAGGGAAAGTGAATGCCTTCTTGTACCGGCTATGGGCACGAGTGCAGCGAACCAGCCACTAAAGGGGATGGTTTAGGAGTAAGACAGAACAAAACCCAACAGAGAAAAGAGAGGAAAAAACACACAGGGAATGCTTTTTGAAACGACAGGGCTTGAAGAGGAGGCAATATTGCTGTTTGCCATAACCGTTGCAAAATAAGGCAAACGGTTATGGCATCAGCACGGCGATGCTGTTGCCATAACCGTTTGCCCTGCTTATGCAGCCCACCACGATGAGAGCTTCTTCTTTTTTTCCTGAACCGTTAACTCACCATGACCTTTTTGTTGTTTGCCTTCATTCCAGCCGTGGCGAATGGCCTCTTTGCCTCTCTCTCCTCCCTCTGCTGCTGCAATTCTCTGTGCTGCTGCAACAACTGGGAGGGTCGGAGGGGAAGGGGAGGACGAAGGGGAAAGAGTGAGAGAGACTGAGGGAACAAGCGGTTCGGTCTCTTTGCCTCTCTCTCCTCCCTCTGCTGCTGCAATGCTCTGTGCTGCTGCGACAACAGGGAGGGTGGAAAGAGAAAGGGTCGAAGGAGAAGGGGAGGAAGGAGAAGGGGAGGAAGGAGAAGGGGAGGAAGGAGGAGGGGAGGAAGGAGAAGGGGAGGAAGGAGAAGGGGAGGAAGGAGAAGGGGAGGAAGGAGAAGGGGAGGAAGGAGAAGGGGAGGAAGGAGAAGGGGAGGAAGGAGAAGGGGAGGAAGGAGAAGGGGAGGAAGGAGAAGGGGAGGAAGAAGAAGGGGAGGAAGGAGAAGGGGAGGAAGGAGAAGGGGAGGAAGGAGAAGGGGAGGAAGGAGAAGGGGAGGAAGGAGAAGGGGAGGAAGGAGAAGGGGAGGAAGGAGAAGGGGAGGAAGGAGAAGGGGAGGAAGGAGAAGGGGAGGAAGGAGAAGGGGGGGAAGGAGAAGGGGAGGAAGGAGAAGGGGAGGAAGGAGGATGGGAGGAAGAGTGGGAGTCACCAAGGGAACAGGCCAGCGGCAGCGGCAGCTTTGCCATGTGATCCAGCACCCCCAATGGCTGTCTGCTCACGGGCTGACAGGTGCCACATGCAAAGCAGCCGTGTGCTTTCAAATCAAGTGCATCTCACCTTGTTCTCTCTGTAGCTCCCTGCTTCCACCAGTGATGCCACAAACCCCGCCACCAGCACCCCCCATGGCTGTCTGCTCACGGGCTGACAGGTGCCACATGCAAAGCAGCCGTGTGCTTTCAAATCAAGTGCATCTCACCTTGTTCTCTCTGTAGCTCCCTGCTTCCACCAGTGATGCCACAAACCCCGCCACCAGCACCCCCCATGGCTGTCTGCTCACGGGCTGACAGGTGCCACATGCAAAGCAACTGTGTGCTCTCAAATCGAGTGCATCCCATTTTCTTTGCTCTGTAGCTCCCTGCTTCCGCCAGTGGTGCCGCAAACCCCGCCACCAGCACCCCCACCCCATGGCGCCTGCTAACCAGCTGACAGGTGCAATATGCAAAGCAGCTGTTGTGTGCTCTCACTCTCAAGTGCATCCGTTTTCTTTGCTCCGTAGCATCACACCCCGCCACCAGCACCCCCACCTCCATGGCTGTCTGCTCACGGACTGACAGGTGCAATATGCAAAGCAGCTTTTGGGTGCTCTCACTCTCAAGTGCATCTCACCTCTCTCTCGCGCCTCACCTTCTTGGCTCTATAGTTCCCAGCTTCAATCAATGATGCCACAAACCCCGCCACCAGCACCCACGCCTGCCTGTTAACCGGCTCCCAAAATCCCCCCACCCCTCCTCCCCCTCCTCCCCCTCCGCCCACCCACCCCCTCCCCGAACCTCCCCCAAAGCCCCTTCCCCCAGCACCTCCCCCCGCTGCGCCCCTCCCCCCTTGTCCCCCAAACCCCCTGCCTCCTCCGCCCCTTCCCCAGTTGCGCTTGTGTGGGGGCAGCATCCTCCCCCTTCCCTGCAGCCACGTGCCCCAGTTGCCCTTGCTGCCCCTCGCGCCCCTCCTCACTGCATCCAGCGCTATGGCTGCCAACACCTATAAATACAGAAATTAAGGGAGGAAAAGGAACGTTAAGAGCGCATATATGGGGGGATATGATTTCCTCCCTTCCCTACATGCAACCAAGTGTTGTTAACAGTCAATTTTTGAGGCGCCTCAAAAATAGACTCCTCACGTGTTGTTAACAACACTTGGATATAATTTCCCCCCTTCCCTACATGCAACCACGAACTCCAGTTCCCCTTGCTGCCCCTCGCGCCCCTCCTCACTGCATCCAGCGCTATTGCTGCCTGCCAGCACCTGCAGGCAGGCAAACACGGGGAAGGAAGCGCAGAAAGCTTAGAGCATGCAAGAGTGCCTGTGTGGGGGAATGATTCTCCCTCCCCCTTCCCTGCAGCCTTAAGTTCCAGTTGCCCTTGCTGCCCCTCGCGCCCCTCCTCACTGCATCCAGCGCTATTGCTGCCTGCCAGCACCTGCAGGCAAAAAGGGGGAGATGAGAGCAAAGAATGAGAGCGAGGGGGTGACGGGAGAGGAGAGGGGAGGGGAAGGGGGGGAAGAAGGGGAGGACCGTTCTCCTCTCCCCAACCCCCACACACACCCCTTCTCGACTTGAAATCATCTTCCTTGCACCCTCCTTAAACGCCCCTTTCTTCCGCTCTGACTGCCACACCCAAGACCAAACCCCCCCCTCTCCCCCCTTCCCCCCTCCCTCCCCCAATACTCCCCCCCTACCTTGAAGTCCTCCTCCTTGTGCCCTTGCGCCATCAGCGCCTCCTTCTCCCGCTCCGCCTGCCTCTCCGCCTCCGTCATCCCCCCCTCCCTCGCCTCCTCACTCTACATTCCCCCCCACCCCCCCCCCCCCCCCCAGAGCCTCCATATCCCACTCACCTTGAAATCCTCCTCCTTGTACCCCTGCGCCTTCAGCTCATCTTTTTCGCGCTCCGCCTGCCTCTCCGCCTCCGTCATCCCCGCCTCTCTCGCCCGCCTAGCCTCCTCCGCCGTTCCCCCTCCCCCCGCCGTTCCCCCTTCTGCTCCCCCCGCCTCGTTTCCCGAGCCAGCCTTGGCCGAAATACTTAAAGCCTCCGCGTCATTCTCCTTCCGTGACCCCTCTGTTAAACCCTTCTTAATCCCCTTCTTAGAACCCTTAGCCCCTCTCGAGCCGCTCTTGCGGGACCGCTTCCTCTCGGCTCTCTCCCGTTCCGCCACCAAGGCATCTACATCCTCGTCTAAAGAGATCCCTTTGAGAATATAGTCGGACTCGTCCGCTTCCGCTTCCGCTTCCGCACTCTTACTTTCTCTCTTCCCCTCTCCCCTGAATGCAGCATTCCCCGCGGACTTTCCCCCAACGCCTCCCCCCGCGCTCCCCTCCGCCACTCGCGCAACTTTTCGCCGTTTAACAGCGCCATCCGCTCCGCCAAGCCCCGCCGCTCCCGCGCTAGCTGTTGCCCGGGGCTCAGCCTCCGCATCGACCCCGTCAGCTTTCTCCGCGCTGCTTTTCCGCTTGCGCGCAGCTTTTCCCGCCGCGCCGTCAGCGCTCTGGGTCTTTTTGGCAGAGCTAGGGATTCTTGATTTCCCCGCCATGGCCAGAGACCGCGAAATCAAGAATCGGCTGACTGGAAGCAGGTGCAAAATCAATGCCGTGAAAAGAACGTACAGATTCGATTGCGTTCTAGCGGAGGGGGGTGCTGTGGCTAAAACCCCCAAAACCTGAGACACAATTGGGATGTCGTACGGAAATTATGTTTTATCAGCTTTTCCAGCTGGTTTATCCTGCAGCAACAGAATGACAAATTTGAATCAAGATGTTCTCAAAAAGTGTTTAGGCGCGTACAGAGTTCATCAACCAATCACTGGGCGACAGCGCTTTATTGTACTGTACTGGCAAAATCGGCTGATCCGAACCGCCCGACACTGGCGTCAAAGGACATCGCGCTTCGATACTCCCTCCAAATTCATTCAGTCAGCAGCAACACCATTTCTCCCCATCTACACTTAGCTCGCGGTAATCGTACACCCTGAAACTGGGCGGCAGAAGAATTTGTTTTTCCACCCTGACCATTTCTGAGTGCGTAGACAGTACCCCCTTGTCCCTACGGCCTAAGCTTGGAAGACTCCACGTGGGATTTGAGTACTGCCTAAGCTGACGTCCGGTTTCCTGACTCAAGAAACACTAAATCGAGCGGTAAACGTTTCTTATAGAAACCCAAGTTCAAATTGTTTTTCAAGGGTCTCCGGATCTGGTCTTCAGGAGCTGCTTTCGGAGGGTGAATACCCTCTCGACAGCACCCCCTGTGAAAATATTGGGTGTGAAAATACCGCAGGCTAGGTATGGCAAACAGGGCCCAGGTTTGCGTTTCCCGCCCGTCCCTTCCCTTCCTTTCGCTTCGCTTCGCTTTTTCAACTCAACCTAAAAACCCCATCCGAAATCGTAAACACTCAAATTATGTCTGGTAAGTTGTTTAGGTGTAATCCGTTTGAATTATGTGGCACTGTTATAGCATTGCTTTGGCCTGTCTCGCCACCACCCAAGCCACCCCTCCCCAGGTAACGCGACTGTCGATATTTTTGGCTGGCGGGTCAACAGCACGAATGCTGTAGATCCCTCACTTGCGACGAGATCCATGTGGATAAGGACCGCACTGTGTGAAGCAAGCCTTTTACTAAAATGGTAATTACCCTTAATATCGAGCTCCTTCAGCGATTTCGTTTTTTTCAGTGCGATTGGTTTTCGATTGGTTTACGGGAATGATTTCGCCCGATTCCCTAGCCTACCGATTCACGTTTTCTGGAATCCGTACGGTCTGTAGGGGGTACCCCCCCATCTCCCTCCCCCCCCCCCAAGCGCCCTTGATTCCTTACCTGCCGAATTCTTTTGGTTACGGGTTTTTTTGGAAGGATATAGGCGTGACGCTAATGCTAATGCCGCTAAAGCGAATCATGCCATAGTGTTCAAGTACAGTATCACACACATCGTGTTTTCCTTCCCAAACTGCACTTGATTCCGCCCTTCACACAGTGCGGTCCTCACCCATCCCACCTCGCTTGTCAACACAGATTTCGTCGCAAGCGGCAGATGTGCAGCATTCGTGCTGTTGAACCGCTAGCCAAGCATATCGACAGTCGCGTGATTGGGGAAGGGGTGGCTGGGATGTTGGCGAGCCAGGCCAAAGCTCTGCTATAATAGTGCCACAAATTCAAGAGAGCTCTGCGCTAGCTACACTTCTGATCTGCACGACAGATATTCATTACGCCAAAGGCCTTACTGTTGCTCCTGTTGCGTAGTTCGCCTCGCCAACTTACCATCCCCTCATTAGCATCTCGCTTCCAGCAAAGGTTTTCCGTCGTATTGTCTTCGTAGTAGCTTCTAAGGCGAGAATGGAGCGCGAGCGCTGCGCGCACATCAACAAGCTTCCCAACGACCTCCTTGTAAGAATCCTCTGGCATTCCAATAAGTCCAAGCCGCTTCGATCCGGCATTCAATCCGGTGACAGCGACACTCTATCTACCTCTTAATATCATACGCAAAAGTACATCTAGAAAGGGCCGTCGCTCGAGGATATTCACAGTGAAGCCGATACAAGGGCAAAGATCCCAATTGTTGCTGACACCACAATGAACCTGCTCATAGCGTCGATTTGTCGCCGCTGGCGCCGACTCGCCCAGCGTTACATCACCACATTTATTTGTGAAGTCAAACGTCGTCGTTTCTCGACGAGACCTCGCCAACACCGTCGCATATTTCACAAACCTGTCGCAACTGTACATGTGCGACTACAGCGTGGAAAACGTCGAGGACGCGTTTCTTGCTCACCTCGCTAGCTCGTGTCCGAAGCTGGCGATTTTTCACGTGGGAAACAGAATTACACTGACGGAAAGAATTGTCCACATGTTTGGCAATTTTTTGAATTTCCACCGTTAAAGGGCATTTGAACATTAAGCCTTAATTGGAGGCATTACCCACTATATGCAGGCCAATCTAGGGAGACATTAAAATGCTACACATTTGATGAAACTACTATCGTTAACAGTAAACAGCAAACATAACCAAACACGGTGCATGTGGACAATTATTTCCAGGCGGAAGCAGCAACTTGAAAAACCCTTAAACTAGTACCTGGTCCACCGCCCTTTAGCCCTAATCACTGCTTTCACCCTCCTGGGCATGCTGTCGATCAAATTGGAGCACACCTCTGATGGGATCTTCTCCCACTCCTCTTGTACACGCTCCCACAGGTCCACCATACCAGTGGGAGGTGTCTCATGCTTTCCCAGCTCCCTTTTAAGATGAGCCCACAGATTCTCAATGGGGTTCAGATCAGGACTTCCTGCCGGCCACTCCAGGACCCCATACTCCTGCTCCTGAAGCCACTGCTGCACCACACGGGACTTATGCTTGGGGTCGTTATCATGCTGGAAGATCACAGCCGAGGGGGTTAGCTTGTAAAAGTCGATGGTTTTTTTCAGCTCGTCTTGCAAAATGCTCAGATACAGCGGCCCGTCCATCCGACCATCGATTTTGCACATGAAACCCGCCCCCTCAAACGTCATACATCCCCAGATCATCAAGCCGCCGCCCCCGTGTTTGACGGTTTGCTTGATATGGTGGTGTTGGAGAGTCGTACCTTCACGAACCCAGGCGTACGCGCGGCCGTCAGAGCCGAACCTACTAATCCTCGTCTCATCCGACCATATGACTCGTCGCCAATCATCTATGGTCCAATCCGCGTGGGCCCGTGCGAACGCCAGCCTATCGCGGATATTTTTCTTGGTGAGTCGCGGCTTCTTAGGCTGCTGAACTGCGATAAGGCCGCTGGATTTGAGCGCATTACGCACCGCCCTAGGATGCACCGTGATGCCGTGCTGGGATTCGACGATTTGGGCCGCATGCCTCGAGGTTTTCGCCTCGCCGCTAGTGATCGCCCTGACGATCCCACGACGAATTCTACTCGACAGTACGCGTGGACGACCAGCAGTGGGCATTGTAGGACGTACGTCCTCGGGACTAGTCTCTGAAATCGCCTTGAGCCCAACATCATGCACTGTACTTTTCCCAACGCCAACCTGTTTCGCGATTTGCCTCGTGCTGAACCCCCTACGCAACAGGGCCACGATCCGGGCGCGACGAGCCTCATCTATCGGTCTCATCTTGGCGTAGTCTACGCCTCGGGTATAAACTTTATTCTGACTACTCGATGATTGCATTAGGAACTATGGAGAGAATGCTCTAGTCGAAAACGGATCTAGTCCGCTGCTTGGCCAAAACTGTCCGGATGCACTCACGCGACTGAAATCTTGGCCACGCTATTAGTGCGACCCATTCAGGTTGCAAACGTGTTACCCTATTGTAACTGGCACGCGTAACTTATTAGTCAGCAATGAACATTCAACGATACATCGGGTGAAAGCATTCAAATCATGTGTTGAACCTAAAATTGGACTTTATCCGGGCAATACTTTCCGTCGCTGTATGAAGGATGTGGATTGGGAGAAGAGAAAGCGATTGCATCCAATTACGCAAACCGGTTTGGACCATTTCTTTCGGCACTGCACTCAATTGGAGCAGCTTACACTCCACTGCCTACAGCCGCGCTGTAAGCTTCCAGCTTCGTTTTTCCAGCTAACTCTGCACACTGTCGTTCTAGAAGATGCTTCGGTTTTGAAATCTCCTGATGTCCCAAGGCTTTCGTATCTGACAAGTCTCTACATTACTCGGGACAAGAAGTTTCAAGAACTCGCGTCCCTCGCTTGGCTATCCCGACTTGCAAATCTCTTGCTCAGCCAAGATTGCAAGATGATTATGGGGGAGAACAGTAACGAGGATATCAATTCGCTTGCCCTCGCAAAGCTGTCGCATCTAACGGCCTCGATTATGCATTTCGACATGATGTTTCCCTCGGAAATGCCGTGCACCAGACTCGAACGGCTGGTCATTGACGATTGTGCCAACCTCAAGCGATTGCCGAAAGACATTGGCGAACTGTTACTATGCCTTCGCGAGCTTACTTTTGAATTATGCAGGCGTTTACATCTGCCATAAAACTTCGTGTTTCTGAGCCGTTTGGAAAGCCTAACAATTTCGGACAGCTTTTCGATCTCTAGCCTTCCCGAGGACTTCGGGGAGCTGCTCGCCCTGAAAACTTTAGAGTTCTACGTGCTGCCCGTGACCCACCTCCCCGAGTCTTTCTCCCAGCTCTCCTCCCTCGAAACCCTAATTTTGGTCGGTTGCCGCCAATTCCGCAAGCTGCCCGCAAATTTCAGCATCTTGACCGCTCTCAAGACCCTTTCCATCGTCAAGTTACCGCTACTACGGTTACCACACGGCCTCGAAGGCCTTCCAGGAATTTAGGCGCTGTTTCTGAACGAGGTTCTCCAGCGGACGGTACTCCTGAGGTCCGCGTTTACTGGGTTGATTTCGCTTATGCGGCTAATTCTCGACCTCTGCACTTCCGACGGTATTCTCGAGGGTATTAGGTGGATGAGTCACCTGTGGCAGCTACACATCCATTTTTGCTCGGAAATCGAAGAAATTCCAGAGTCCCTGACCGGGCTGACCAATCTCGAGGTGCTGATGGTTGGGTTGTGTAGCGCACTCTCTTCGGGCGTAGGAATCTGGGCGGACTTTAGAGGCTGAAGCGGCTGGAGCTGACGGGTTGTGAACTGCTAAGTGATCGTCCTAGCGTGCTTCCAGTCTCACTGGAGAGTTCAAGTCAGGGGAGCTACAGTCAGGTCTCTCCTCTGCCTGACATCTCCCAGCTGTCTCCCAGCTGTCGAATCTCCAGATGCTGAGCTTGAATCTGGTTGGCGTGGAGTGTGGATCAATGACTGTGAGAAGCTTGACTCGTGTGGAGCACTTGGAGCTGGTGTTGGGAGAAGAGGCCAGAGAACACTCATTTCCCGTGGAATTTCTCACTCAGCTGCACGCCTTGCGGATCTTAAGGGCGGGGAAGATCGAGAAGCTTCCGGAGAACGTAGGTTCGGCTCTGCCGAAAATGCGACAGCTGCAGATACTTCATGCTACAGAGTTCACTGGCTTACCAAAAAGCATCTCACAGCTATAGCAGCTGACCTCCTTGGAGGTGCATGCTCCCAAGCTAGCCGTTCTGCTTGAGGACATAGGCTCCTTGTACAGACTGAGAGAGTTGAACCTGACAGATTGCTTAGTCTTGCAGCATCTGCCTGCTTCCCTCACTCAGCTCGCGTGCCTGAACAGTTGGACGCTGAGAACACCGTCATTCGGTGCCTGCCTGCTAGGTTTGCCGAGTTGACCAGGCTCATGGCGCTTTCCCTGCATCGCTGCCAGCAGCTGGAGGAATTGCCCGGGGATTTGCATGAGCTTAAGATGTTGCACAACTTGGGCTTGAGAGGGAGCATGAGAGAGTTCAATGGCAGGAAAATCGTGCGGGAGCATGACATCAGTTACATGTATGGGTTGAATGTTGAGGGCTAGGAATTTTATGAGGCGGTGCTAATGTGTTTCGATTGTTGAACTTGAGTGGTTTGTGGCTTTTTGTGTTAATGGTTTGTGGTTTGAGAAGCCACCTACGGACCCGGTAAAGGCTCTAGTAGCTTTCGCGGTCTTAGATGGGAGTGTTGTGATTGCAACTAAATTCTCATCGACAGTGAGGGCACACTGTTAATGATGGATGCACACTGTAGAAACTCAGTATAGGAAAACCTGCAAATGCGCATGAGTGCCCCCTCCCGTCACAACCACAATCTCAAATTGGTAAATAATCCTTAGCGCATATTCTATACTTGGAATTGGTGATTCTGTATGCTGGAGTACTCACATATGTCTTTGCATTAGTGTTTAGTTTGTCACAACATTTAAGTCATATGTTAATGTTATGTAATTTTTCTCATGTTTGTAAAATCTGGAGCTTTACTGTAAGGAAAATTCCTACACCTTACTGGGCTCAACTACAGCGCGTACACCCTCGACCCTCGGAAGACCAGGCCCGGCCATTTTCCTCGGTCCCGAACCATTTCGTAAGCCCAAACCTAATGCGCGGCGCCTCCGTGGCTTTCGCCAACCGAATCGCCCTAACCTGTTTGCGAGGTTCTCGGCTAGCCCTGTTGTGCCTATAAATGCCTAGGTCCTCATTTGTATTGACGACTCTTGAATCACGACCCTTTTATTACACTACCTGTTATTACTCTGATTAATTCATAACATCTGGTATCAGAGCCCCGTTCCTGCCCGCTTAGTCTTCCGTAGAGTAGTCCGTTTATATCGGGGAGGACCCGACAGAATAGAGGGTTGGCCAGCGGTTGGTCGGCGAGCTCGTTAAAGCTCCTCCAACTAAAAGCGTGTGCACCCTCAGATCTGTCAGGTAAATTTTCCAGCATGACTAGCACGCCGGAAACCTCTGCCCGTCGTAGTGTTAGGAACGTGACTCAGGAGGAGTTTGACGAGTTGCAAGCCAGGGCGGCTACAGTGACGACACTGCAGGCCTAGCTTCAACAACTCGCGGATAAATTCGAGTCGCTGGGAAGCAAAGTTCAGACGCTGCGCAACGAACTCGTCACTTCGCCAGACGCGGGGTGAAACGCGTCAGGAGCGGCCTGTTACCCGAGACGAGGATGCTGCGAGCGAAGCGAAGGCGTCGGCAACACCTGAAGCATTTGAAGAAATCCAAAGCGAACCGTGGGTGGCCATTAAAATCAAGCCTCCCATGCCCCCACCGTTCAACCCGACAGACAGGACGACCACCGTGAGTGGGTGGAAATCTTCTTCACGGCAGCAAGTATTAATGACAAGACCTCACGTGTCAACTTGGCTGTGTCGTTGCTGAGGGGACCGGCACTCGACTGGTGGCGCATGCATCTTGACGAGGGAGGAGCTCCGGCAAGGAATCAACGGGCGGCAGCTGGGGAGATGAGTTCATCAACAGCAACGGCAGAACCAATCTTTGGCTCGACCACGATCCGCACGTGGAAAGTGTGGGGCGAAGCGTTGAAAAGTAGATTCGAGCACATATCCATGCACGAAAATGCTCGCACAAAGCTTCGAATGTGGAGACAGTTGGGCCTTGTCCAAGAATACACAGCGTCGTTTCTGGCCATCTGCGACCAAATCGGAGGGATCAGCGAGGACGAGAAAATCGATCGCTACGGGGCGGACTCAAACCGGAGATTCAACAAGAAATCGTCCTGCGAGCCCTGACGACCTTCAACGAGATTGTTCGCATGGTGGATGCGCTGGACTCGCGACGTGGACTCGCGAGAGCGAGTTTCCGGGAGGGACATCGCTTTCGAGGCGAGCCCCAACACACATCAATCAACGGCATGGACGTGTTTGCAGCCCGAGTATTTTCGGGGACCTGCTTCCACTGCAACTAGCCGGGTCACATGGTGAGGGACTGCCCGCAGCTGAAGAAGAACTTACCTAATGACAAGAAGCAGCCGGGAAATGGAGATCGTCAGTAGGAGATGGGCCACCTACTGACTTGACTGCGTCGCCCAAACGCCACCACCCCCACCAGGTTATAGTGTCGATTTGGGCTATCGACCATTCCTGGCTGAATAAGGGAGGTGAACCGGTTGACCACCCTGTGCTGGTTGAAGGGAGAGTTGGTGATACCCGCATAAAAATATTTGTTGATGGCGGGGCAAGCCACAGTTTAATGGATGTGACGAAAGCGAAAAAATTGCGATTGCAACTGGAGCGGTGTCTGCCTGAAATCGACGCGCGATTGGTCGATGGCACACCCCTGGCAATTCGGGAGCGAGTACCTCACGTGTGAGTTACATGCGGCGAGAATTTCAGCTTTACGACGAAGATGCTGGCGACAACATTGGACGGCTGCGACATGCTGCTGGGACGCGATTGGCTGCGCGAGTACAACCCGAGCATCGATCGGCGGACGGGTGACTGTCGAATCAAATGGAGTGGCGAGTGCCGACGACTTCCGAAGTGGAACAATCCAGATCCTGCGACAGTCAGCACGGTTACCATCAAGTGAGCGATGATTCGCGGGGCACAACTGTACGCCGTCAGATGGATCGCATCCACGGCTGTCAGCGCACCGGCCGACATCGACAAACTCTGCGCGGCAGTCCTCGACAACTTGGCGACATTGATCCACAAGCATGCCGACATCTTTCTGGACGACCTACCGCCAGGATTGCCACCCGAGCGAGACCACGACCATAAAATCCAGTTGGAGCCCGGCGTGCAACCGACGGTTCGGACACAGTGGAGGCTGACTCATCCAGAGCTGGATGAACTTCGACGCCAACTGGATTACCTGCTCGAGAAAGGTTTTGTTCGCCCCAGTACTTCACCGTTCGCAGCTCCGATACTGTTCACCCCGAAGAAAGATGGCGGTCTACGAATGTGCATTGACTACCACGCCTTGAACCGGGTTACCATCAAGTCTCGCTATCCTATTCCGCGTGCCGACGAACTCATCGACCAACTTCGTGGGGCAAAGTTCTTTTCAAAAATTGACCTGCAAGGCGGTTACCACCAGATCCGTGTCAACGAAGCTGACTGCTACAAGACGGCGTTCCGAACCCGATACGGGAGTTACGAGTACACGGTCATGCCTTTTGGCTTAACCAACGCGCCTTCAACATTCTAGTTAACCATGAACGAAGTTTTTCGACCGCTGCTGGATAAATGCGTCATTGTGTACCTCGACGACATCCTGATATATAGCACTACCCGGGAAGCACATTTGAAGGATTTGGAAGCAGTCTTCTCTCTCCTGCAGCAGCATCGACTCATCACCAAGGGTTCTAAGTGCGAGTTTTTGAAACAAGAACTGGAGTTTTTGGGACACGTTATTTCCATCGACGGTGTTAAAATCGACCCGAAAAAAATCGCGACCATACAAGACTGGAAGCCGCCGGCTAATCTCCGCGAACTTCAAAGTTTCCTGGGGTTTGTGAATTACGTTCGCCGGTTCATCCCGAACATGGCGGGGGTAACTTCCCCTCTTACGGATCTTCTGAAGAAAGGCAAGTTTTATGAGTGGGGGGGAGAGCAGCAGGCTGCGTTCGACCAACTCAAACTTTTCCTGACAACACCTCATGTTCTTCGCATTGCAGATCCTCACCGTCCGTTCAAACTCATCACCGACGCTAGCCACCTGGCTGTTGGCGCAGTACTGTTACAGGACTTCGGCGAAGGCCTCCAACCCATCGCCTACAAGTCACGAAAGCTGAATCCGGCCGAGCGAAATTATCTCGTCCACGACAAGGAGTTACTCGCCATCGTTCACGCGTTCAAGGTTTGGCGCTGCTACCTGACGGGCGCTGATGTGACAGTCCGAACAGACCACAAATCGCTACAGTTCATCCATGCCCAACCGGCACTCAACCCCCGACAGATTCGCTGGCTCGATTATCTCGAGTCGAATTTCCACTACAGAGTCACCTACAAACGAGGGGCCAGCAACATCGCCGACGCACTGACCCGCCCTTCAGTCCATACCGCCGCTGTCCTAATCACCCAAACCAATCCGCTGCTAACTGGACTATTTACCCACGGATACAGTACCAACCCATTCTTCACGACTAACAGTCATCCCCAACTGACAGTCAAGTAGGGGGCTTATTACCTAAAATCCGGTACCAATCGGATTTGGGTTCCTGCTTACCGTACCCTACGCGAGCTACTGATACAAGAGGCACACGACTCGAATTTCTCGGGTCACTACGGCATCGACAAAACTGCCAAATTACTGAGCCGTAATTATTACTGGCCCGATTTGCCGACGGACGTGCAGCAGTACGTCACTTCCTGCGCCACGTGTCAACGCATGAAGTCGTCACGACTTCGACCTGCGGGATTACTGCAGCCGCTCGAGCCACCCAGCCGACCCAGGCAACAAGTGACGATGGATTTCGTCACTGGCCTGCCAGCTGGTCCAAGCGGTAATGACGCGATTCTCGTCGTCGTTGACCGTTTGACCAAAATGGCACACTTCGCCGCCTGCAAGACGACAATCACTGCCGAGCAGACAGCGAAGCTGTTTCTCACGAACATCGTGCGGCTACACGGCATCCCTTCGGCAATCATCAGCGATCGCGACCCTCGGTTCACATCCAATTTCTGGACAAAAACCTGGCAGCAGTACGGCACACGTCTGCATCTGTCCACGGCATACCACCCGCAATCGGACGGCCAGACTGAGCGCACCAATCAGACGATGGAGCAGCTGATTCGTACAACGTGCACAGACCCGGCCCAGTGGTAAGATTCTCTTCCACTGATCGAGTTTGCGTACAACAACGCCCCATCAGCCACGACTACTCAGTCCCCGTTCTTCCTTAATTACGGGATAGACCCGACAACCCCTCTATCGCCACCGATCGAAAATCCGGCACCCAGATCGCAGCAGTTCGTCAAAAACCTCCGACAGTCTCAGCAAAAAGCCGCCGATGCCATTCTCAAAGCCAACCAACGGGCTAAGCAGCAAGCTGACCGACGACGCCGTGACTTAAACCTTGCCCCTGGGCAATTGGTCCTGCTTGTCACTCGAAATTTGGGGATTCCCCTCCCAAATAAACTACGACCAAGATTTTGCGGCCCATTCCGCATAATCCGCATGATGACTCCCGTCACCGCCCAGCTGCAACTACCGGTCGACTGGCGCATTCACGATTCATTCCACGTCAGTCTCCTGCGACCGTTCGTCCCGAATACAACTGATCTCGACCGTCAACATATCAATCCTACGGCCAACCCAGTACCCGAGCCGACGATCGAGCCATCGAAAATTCTCGCTCATCGCGTACGAGGTTCTCGCGATACAGCAGCCGTTGATTTCTTTGTACGATGGGTCGATCGCACGACTGATGACGACCTCTGGGTCCCCGCAGCTATGCTCGGTGAACACAAAGTTGTCAGGGACTATTTACACCGACGACGTGTCCCGGATGTGGGTAGTCTCATCCCGGAAGGGGGGGTGGTGTAAGGAAAATTCCTTTTCCTTACTGGGCTCAACTACAGCGCGTACGCCCTCGACCCTCGGAAGACCAGGCCCGGCCATTTTCCTCGGTCCCGAACCATTTCGTAAACCCAAACCTAATGCGCGGCGCCTCCGTGGCTTTCGCCAACCGAATCGCCCTAACCTGTTTGCGAGGTTCTCGGCTAGCCCTGTTGTGCCTATAAATGCCTAGGTCCTCATTTGTATTGACGACTCTTGAATCACGACTCTTTTATTACACCACCTGTTATTACTCTGATTAATTCATAACATTTACGCTCTTCGTTACAATCGACCCGCGCCTCGTTGTTGCACGTCGGTTCTCGAAGCTAACACGACCATCCCCCTACCCCACCTAAAAGTGGCGGGAACGACCTTCCGTACTTTGCGCCACCAACCGAGACTTTTCGCCCCCACCATGTTACACCTCCACGAGCCTGGCAAATCAGAACCACGCGAAAAGATCATCCACGTCAGCCCTAGCCCCCCTTTCCGAGCCGCGTCCACGCTGAACCAAATTCGCGAACCCCTTGCGACTCGAGACTTGAGTGCGCGCGCCGTCCAATGTGCATTGCGCAATGCACGAAAGCCAATGTGCGTCTGCCTGACTCCATCCATCCATCCAACCATCACATCACACTCGCATTGGCTTGGGTTGCGTGGTGTTGCAATTGCAAATCCCGCTCCTCTTTTCCCCTTGTCTTATAGTTCCTCTCTCGTCCCTTCCCCCAGAGCTGTCGAAGCAGCCCCGCACCCCTGCAGTCGGGAAATGGAACTGCACTCCTCTTACACAATAATGGCGGCCAATGGGCAGCAGGTCTACTACGCCCCTGCAGAGTTGTAGTGCGACAAGCAGCCCTGCTTCCTTTCGCGCCTCTCCTTGCAAAATAGACCATCCTGGTCTTCATCCAGCTCCTGCTTGCTTCCCTTCAGCACGGAAACACCATTAGGGCAGAAGGAAACAAATTGCACACTTGATAGACGTCCCAACGAGTCTAGTCACTTCTCATCACCTGTTCTCCGACCGCATACCTAGATGTAACAGATAGTCGGTTCGCGTGTGCAAGAACGGCGCCGATATTTTGCTGCTATTAGTGCATCGATTTCCGGATCGTAGAATACCTTCTGCTCCTTAGCACCTGCTCTAGCGCGGCACAGACTACTAGTTCCAGGTATGTCGATCAGCGCATGGTCGAGCTCAGAATACCTTAGCCAGGTGTATTTTGAGTCGACTGAAAGTGCAGCAACCAGTTGTGTCGACCAGCGCATTTCCAAGCTCCGATCATTTTAGCGTCCTTCTCACCTCCTGTTGTTACACCGCAATTTAGAGCCCCTATTCGCAATCTCCACCTTTGTAGTCTAATTTACGGCGTAGACCCTAGGTTAGGAATATCAACCTTCTAAACCGCTCCGGCTTTATCGAGTAGACGAGTAGATAACGTCAGTTTCAAGCTTGCGAGATTCGACAGTAACAGGTAGCAGAAGATAGCTTTAACTCTGCCCACTAACCTAGGCCAAGTCATCACTGGTTCACCTCGACAGGGACTCAAACAGCACTATACCGGGGACAGCGTGTAGCGAGTTCAACAATATGCCGTCGCAGCGTCTTGCCCCCTCCCTTCCACCCGTCACGGAGGGAGACGAGGAGGCACGGTCCGGGGACATGTCGATCGCGTCGGCTTGTAGCGTGGACGCGTCGACTTGCATTGCAAGCGACGGAGATAGACGAGGAGAGAGAGCAGCGGTGCAGGGAGAGGGCGGCGCGGCGAACCATATGAGCCGCAACGACTCGGTGGCGTCTACTGAGTCGGCTGAAAATCGGGCGGCGGTGCAGGGAGAGAGCGGCGCGGCGGCAAACCAAATGTGCCGCGACGACTCGGCGAAGTCAACTCTTGAGCCGATTAAAATGCGGGCAGCGGTGCAGGGAGAGATTTGCGGCGCGGCGAACCAAATGTGTCGCGACGACTCGATGACGTCGACGCCGCGATCCGATACGTCGGAGTGCCGCATGGCGTACACGCCGAACGAGCTGCTGCAGATGACTGAAGCGGCATGGGCTGCGGTGAGTTGGGCTCTCTCGCGAAGTCCTGTCGATAAAGTATCAAGCCCCTCAATGCTGCATGGATTGGTTATACTACGTCGGAGTGCCGCATGGCGTACACGCCTAATCAGCTGCTTCAGCTCTCCGAACCGGCATGGTCTGCGGTGAGTTGGCCTGCGGTGAGTTGGGCTGCGGTGAGTTGGGCTCTCTCGCGAAGTCCTGTCGATAAAGTATCAAACCCCTCAATGCTGTATGGATTGGTGTTATACTACGTCGGAGTGCTGCATGGCGTACACGCCTAACGAGCTTCCGCAGCTTTCTGAACCGGCATGGGCTGCGGTGAGTCTGAGGAGTTGTCCACCACACGAGTCGGCTTTCCACCACACGAGTGTCACATGGCGTACACGCCGAACGAGCTGCTGCAGCTTGCTGAAGAGGGTGCATAAAACAAGCTCATTAAATAAGCTCATATTGGTTGCACTTTCGGCGGAGTGTCGCATGGTGTACACGCCCAACGAGCTGCTGCAGCTCGCTGATGCGTCATGGGCTGCGGTTTTCCCCCACTCGAGTGTCTCTAGCGACGCCCTTACTGTAAGTATCCAAAAGGGTCGGATATCTCATTATTTGGCTCTTTCACGTCAGAGTGTCGCACGGCATATGCGCCCAGCAAATCAAGCGGGTGCGAGAGTTGGTAGGCGGCTGCGACGCGTCTGTTCTTTCGGGGGGTGTTGACAAGTGTGAGTCGTCTCACAGACCAAGCGGCTGCGAGAGTTGACGAGTCGCCTCACCTCAGGCAATGGAAGTCAATGGAGAGCCCATAATATCCTGCGCAAATGCCGCGCAAATGCCCGCACCTTACCTTCTGTTGACGGCCCGCAAATGCCGCGCGCTTTTGCCTCCCCATCCTGTTTCTTCCCACTCCCCCCTTCGCCCCCACCCCCCCCCCCTTCCCGTTGTCTCATTCCCGCTCGTGTCACATGGCGTACACGTGTCTTTGCCTTCGCATCTTCTCTCCACTTTATCATCTGTGCTCCAACTCACCCACTTTCCTGATTCACCGTTCCACACCGCTTCTCACCCCATCAGCCATGGGAGGATCGCCGTCCCGGAAGCCAATCAGCATCGCCAGCGCCACTTGGCTCCAAATCTTCATCTCAGCCGTTGGATCTTCAGCGCGCGCTTTCCTGCGATCGCGCGTCGCTTTCCAGCTTCATCTTGTCGACCCCGTCGCCTGCCCGCAGAAGCGGCGGAAGCGGAAGCGGAAGCGGAAGCGGAAGGTTCTCCGCATCGCCTGGGCGCGGAAGCGGAGGCATCCCCGCGCAACCAAATGCTTCCCCCGGCCTCCTCCCCCCGCATTCCCCCATGGTGTTGCGCGAGTGGGAGGAATTTCTCTTCGTTAACGGTACTTCCCCCTCCCCCAACGCGTCCTTCCGCCGATCCCGCCTTGGGGGGGGGGGAACGGGGGACGGATCGGGGGAGAGCCGCAGTGGCGGTGGGGAAAGCGGAAGCGAAAGCGGGTTTCAGTTGGACCCGGGCCCCGCGATCAGCGGCGGGAATGGCGGAGACGATGCGGCGAACAGGGACCCCGCTTTGCGAAACATTCGACTGCCGATCCACAAGGTCGTTCGCAGCAGCTGGCCGCGATATCGCCTGCGACGTCGCGACCATTTCGGCGTCGCCATGGAAGGCGTCGCAGAGGGCGACGAGGAAGAGGAGGATGACGACGAGTTGTCGCCGTCGTCGCCTGCCGTCGCAGGGCTGCCTGGGCGAAGCCAGAGCGACGTGGCTGCGACAGGCACGACAGGGATAGAACTAGCCGCATCGGTGGCGATTACGATTTCGTCCGAAGCTGCGATTGGCGCGCATCCATCCGACGTGGCGCGATCCGGAGCCCTATCCGTCAGTCAGCGACTCGCGGCAGCGGGCAATTCTCCAGCCGCTAATGACTCTAGGCCCGTGTCGCGCCGCCTATCCGGGCAGATGCGGCTCGCGGGAGGAGCCTGCGGAAAATCTGGAATAATTGACGGTTCTGGAGCCGGCATGCGTGACGAAAACAGGCCTGTTGCTGACTTCTGTGACAATAGCGATGGGTTTGTGAATATGGCGGGAGGGATGATGGCGGGGGGAAACGTGGGGAAGCTGTTTCAGCTGCTAGAGCACGTGGACAAGCACGGGGATTATTTCCGCGGTGACGTGGAGGACCCTGATTCGACGAGCAGTCTGGAGCTGGAGGACGCGGCGATGGATGACGAACCAGGTAACCCTCGCTTTTTTTCAGATTCGCTATCAGGAAAAAACTTTTGCGAATTCGACGACTGTCGCATACATTTTCGCCCCTTTTTTTTCGATAATCCCTTACTCGTGCTATGCTACTTGCCACGTGTTCCGCCACCTGTTCCTTTATCGAGTCGACTCAAAAATCACCTACATGTTCCCCCCGTGCCACCTCAAACCTACCTCTCTCCCCCCCCCCCCCCCCCCCCACGCGTTCTCCCCGTGTTTTCCAGGGTTTCTCGCGCGGACTGACGTGGCGCGGCTCGTTACGGACGGCACGGATACGCAGTATTTGCCCCGGCTGAACAAGTACTTCCCCTTCGGCGCGTTCACCATCTTTTTGATGATGCAGGTGAGTGTGACTGTAGCGAAACCAAACTCCGTGGGTGTGGCAATAGCGAAAGTTGAACGGTGAATGTGACTATCGGGCACAGATATGCAGTACCTCCCCCAGCGACAAGCGCGCCATGACATGACTGCCAGAGACTCTCTTGAACGCTCACCCCTCCCTCTCAAACCCCCCCCCTCCCCTCGCCCCCCCATCCCCCCTGGCGTTCCCCCCAGGCGCTAGTGGCGGTGGTGAAGTCCCCCAGCGACAAGCGCGCCATGACTGCCACGTCACTCGCCATCTGCTTCGCCGTGTCCGTCGTTTGCCCCTTCATCAAACGCACAGGGCACACCGCGCTCGTCCCCCGCAACAGGTGGGTGTCCGGGTGGGGAGGGGGAGGGGGAGGGGTTGGGGGGGTGGGGGGGTTTGGGGGAGGGGTGTGCGGGCACCACCTTGTCACTCGCCATCTGCTTCGCCGTGTCCGTCGTTTGCCCCTTGGTCAAACGAACCGGACATACCGCGCTCGTCCCTTGCAACAGGTAAGCGTGTTCGCATACACAGGCAGGGTTGCTTGCCTTGGTGCGTGTGTGTTTGGGGGAGGGGTGCACCGGACATACCAACCTCTTTCATCCACGCCGACGCCCAGAATCCACATCATCTGCCCACGTCCCTCCTCCCCACCTCTCCTTCTCCTCTCCCCCCTTCCCCTTCCTGTGGCAGTCGGAAGTGGCCCCTGGCAGTGCGGGTGGCACCGACGCTCAGACCCTCGCTCGCCCAAGCCGCTACCACTCGCCTCACTGTCCATCCCTCTCTCCTCCCTCTCTCCTCCTCCCCTTGTCTGCCCCTCTACCTCGTTTCACCACAGCTGGAAGTGGCCCCTGGCGGTGCGGGTGGGATCCACCAACCTCTTCATCCACGCCGACGCCCAGACGCTCGCCCATGCCGTCACTAAGGCCATTGCCTTTATTCCCCTGGGGCTCTGCAACGAGACTGCAGCGAAAATACTCTTCCCAGGTAACCCATCATAAGGAAGTTTCGGCATATCCAAGCCTGCTCGCATCCTCGCCGCCCATGCCATCACTACGGCAATTGCCTTCATTCCCCTGGGGCTCTGCAACGAGACTGCAGCGAAAATACTCTTCCCAGGTAACCCTACAGCAAGGCACATCGTGAGCTCCGACCCTCGCCCATGCTGTGACCAAAGCGATTGCGTTGATTCCCCTGGGGATCTGCAACGAGACTGCAGCGAGGATTCTGTTGCCAGGTAACAATACAGCAAACCACTTTGTGAGCCCAGACCCTCGCCCATGCCGTCACTAGTAAGGCCATTGCCTTTATTCCCCTGGGGTTCTGCAACGAGACTGCAGCACAGATTCTGTTTCTGCAGCAAAGATTCTGTTTCTGCAGCAGAGAGTCGGTTTCTGCAGCAGAGATTATGTTTCTGCAGCAGAGATTCTGTTTCTGCAGCAGAGATTCTGTTTCTGCAGCAGAGATTATGTTTCTGCAGCAAAGATTCTGTTTCTGGAGCAAGGATACTGCCCCCCCCCCTCCCCTTCCCGTCTCTCTCCCCAGGGCTCCAGCCCTGCTGGCTGCAGCTACTGCAGGCCTCCACCTTCCTCCGCCTCCCCTTCATCACCTTTTCCCTTCAGTTTTCCCTCACCCTTCATTTCACTCACCTTTCCCTCACCCTTCATTTCACTCACCTTTCCCTCACCCTTCATTTCACTCACCTTTCCCTCACCCTTCATTTCACTCACCTTTCTCTCACCCTTCATTTCACTCACCTTTCTCTCACCCTTCATTTCACTCACCTTTCTCTCACCCTCCCCCCTTCTGTCACTTCCTTTTGCCAGGCCTCCAGCCCTACTGGCTGCTCTTGCTGCAGCTCTCCACGTTTCTCCTCGTCGCCTCCCTCACCTTCTTTGTCCACGACCATGTGCCATCCATCCGCACCGCTGCCAGGCCTCTCGAACCCTCGCTGTAAGCACATCTGTCTTCGTTATTAGCACCTTCATTACAGTCACTTCTTTTACGTGCACCCTCGCCTCCCTCACCTTCTTCGTCCATGACCATGTGCCATCCATCCGCCCTGCCACCCAGCCTTTAGAGCCTTCACTGTAAGCACATCGTCTGTTGTCAGGCAGTCATTGCTATTTATTACTAGCACCTCGCCTCGCTCACCTTCTTCGTCCATGACCACGTGCCATCCATCCGAACTGCTGCAAGGCCTTTAGAGCCCTCGCTGTAAGCACACACTTTGCTGTTAGCACCTTGGTTGTAAGCACCTCCCCTCCCCTCTCATCTTCCCCCTCCAGTTTCCCCATGACTGCCGATCACGAAGAGGACGAGGATGGCACGCCACATCCGCATGGCCACCACCACCACCAGTGCATGGCATTTACTGCCTCCCCAATCTCCCCAATCTCCCCAATCTCCTCTATCCTCCCCTCCCCGCCCCTCCCCTTTCATCTTCCCTCCAGTTTCCCCAAGACTGCCGATGACGAAGAGGAGGAAGATGGCATGCCACATCACCATCACCACCACCACCAACACCACCACCAGTGCACGCCTGCTGCAGATGCTGCTAGCAACAATTCGTCTGCAGCCTCCTGACTCTCCCCTCTCCTTCCCTTCCCCTCCCCTCCCCTCTCATCTCCTCCCCTCCAGCTTCCTATGACTGCCGATGATGAAGAGGAAGGGGATGGCTGCTGCTGCTGTTGCTTCTGCTAACGACTCGTCTGCAGCCTCCTGACTCTCCCTTCCCCTCCCCCTCCCCTCTCATTTCCCCCCTCCAGCTTCCCTACGACTGTCGATGACGAAGAGGAAGGGGATGGTTGCTGCTTCCGCTAACGTCTCGTCTGCAGCCTCCTGACTCTCCCTTCCCCTCCCCTCCCCTCATTTCCCCCCCCTCCTGCTTCCTTATGTCTGCCGATGATGAAGAGGAAGAGGATGGCATGCCACATCCGCATTGCCAGTGCACGGCGTGTACAGCCACTAAACATGCTGCTGCTAACAACGATTTGTCTACAGCCTCCTGACTCACTCTCCCTTCTCCTTCCCCTCCCCTCCCCTCCCCTCCCCTCCCCTCCCCTCTCACCTCCCCCCTCCAGTTTCCCTATGACTGTCGATGACGAAGAGGAAGAGGATGGCACGCCACATCCGCATTGCCACTGCACGGCATGTACAGCCGCTACCGATGCTGCTGCTCACAACAACTCGTCTGCAGCCTCCTGTGCCTGCCACCAGCAGCAGCACCACCACCAGTGCCATTCCTTCACCCCCCACCAACATCCCCACACCTGCCAACACCACACCTGCCTACACCACACCTACCACAGCTACAGTCACGCCCGCCAGTGCCGCTGCCACAGCCAGGGTGGCAACAGCGGGTACTGCAACAGCAGCATGACTGGCGGTTACAGTAACAACAGCGGTTACAGTCACAGCGTCACGGGCAGCTACACTCACAGTGGCATGACCGCTCCTTACAGTAACAGCGGCATGACCCCCGGTTACAGTCACGAAGGCAGGGGGTCGTCGTTCCTCGGCACGCCTTGCGAGTCGAAGTCGAACGCAGCGCTTCACTTCAACAGATCGGGATCCATAAACTCAGTCGAGTGCACCCCTCAGCTGAACTCAGCTCAACTGAGCGTGCGTTCCTCCATGGAGCTTCACTCGTCTGCTGAAATTCGGTCCACTCGTTCCTCCCTTGAACTTCAACTTCAATCCGTTGGCGGCCCCCATTCCACCGAGCTTCTTTCAACGGACGTGCAGCGTTCAGGACAACTACTCTCTGTATCTGGCAGCACCCCACCCACCAACCATCCCAGCAGCAGCAGCACGCCACGCCACAACGTCTCTTCTGCTGGCCACACCCCTCCGCCTCCTGGCAGCCAATCAGCTCATCCCTTGAGTGCACATGCCTGCTCGCCTGCACCTGACCCCCCTATCAGCAGCGGCAGCACGCCGGGCCACAATGTCTCTTTCGCCGGCCACACCCCTCCTGCTGCTGCCAGCCAATCAGCTGATCCCGTGTATGCTGCAGATGCCCGCTCGCCCGCACCTGACCACCCGTCTGTCAGCAGCAGCGGCAGCACCCCTTGCCACAACGTCTCTTTCGCCAGTCACACCCCTCCTCGCCACTTTGGAGCCGGCTCCACCCCCCCTCTCCTTAGGGGCCTCCCAAGCCCGCCTTCTGCTTCAGACAGCCCGTTCAGTGCGTCTGTCCACTCTTTCTCCACCCCTGCTCCTGATTCTACTGCCACGGTTGGCTACAGGACTGCTTCTGCTGGCTTCAGCACTGTTGCTGCTGGCTCCACTCCCCTTCTCCTGAGAGGCCTCCCAAGCCCCCCTTCTGGTATAGACAGCCCATTCAGCGCAACCTTGTCGGCCTCCCCTCCTGCTCCTGCCGCCCCCTTTTCTGCTTCTTCTGCTGCTGCTGCTGCTGCTGCTGCTGCTGCTGATGCTGCTGCTGCTGCTGCTGCTTCTGCTGCTGGTGCTGCTGCTGCTGCTGCTGATGGTGCTGATGCTGCTGGTCCGTTGGAAACAGATGGCCTTGATGGGTGCGGGGGGGCGTCTCCTGGAGCAGCAAGCGACTGCAGTAGCAGTAGCAGTGGTGGCAGCAGTGGTGGCGGCAGTGACAACGGCACTCGGTGTGGGTTGCTGTGCTTGGTGCGTAGGAACAGCAGCGGTGGCAGCAGCTGTTGCAGAGGCGTCAGCAACAGCAGCAGCAACAACAACGGCAATGGCAAAAGCAGTGGCAATGGCAACGGCAGCAGCAGCAAGAGTGGGAGGGGGTTGGAAGAAGAGGCAAGGGAGAAGAGGAGTGGGGATGAAGAGAGGAGGGAGGGTAAAGGAGTGTTTCTTGAGACCTGTCAAATCACTGGGGAGGAAGCCGAGGAGAAACGGATTCCTTCCTTGCAAGTGGCTGCAAATAAGCCCCAGATTACTGAAGAATCAAGAAGAGGCGCTAGTGTGGCTGATTCGGGTAGCAGGGTTGACAATAGTGAGGATAGAATAGAACGGGGTGCGCGTGCTTGGAGGCTAATATCACCCCCTATGATGGTGAAGGGAGGTAGACAAAAGGAGGAGGGGGGTGAGAGATTGTAACATCTGTCGCCATCTGTTGCAAAGGGAGGAGGGTAGTGGGACTCCTCAACATGTGAGAAAGAGCAAGGAGGCAACAGTCTCACAAGAGTGAAAGAGGGTGGGAGGAAGCACGAGAGTGTGAGGGTGGGAGGAAGCACGAGAGTGAACGGGGGGAATGCAGCCGATGTACCAAGAAGACATGGGTGAAAGTCAGGCAGGGAGTGAAAGGGGGGAAGGGAGTGAAAGGGGGGGAGGGAGTGAAAGGGGGGGAGGGAGTGAAAGGGGGGAACAAGGATGGAAGAGATGGGTTGTTCGAATTTGGTGGCTGCTACTGCCACCGGTGATGGCCACGCATGGTAGACCAACCGTGTTAGAAAGGAGTAGGGCGTTGAACTTTCTTAACGCGTAGATAACTTGTAGGCATCTTTATGAGTCTAGAAAAGGCTGTAGGTTTTGAAGCTGTGTTAGGGCGTAAACTATTTGGCTCTGGTTATTGCTCTACCACATTTGACTCTGCTTTCCCCTATATACATCCATCTGCATTACCGGTACCTTTTGTGAGGGTGAGGATAAGCATTTTGCGATGATGGCAGCCAAACGAAGCAAGATGCACTTGTAAGAGTATTCAGCATTACGTATTATGAAAATAAGAATCTATATCCATGCAAAATACCATTAATATGGCATCTTCACACCACTCCACACCGCACCACACCATACACAGTGCCCCCAGAACCAGAGTAATTGCCTGTCTTGCCAACATTTTCATGTTCCCATCCTGGCAAACAGGCCCCAAATAACTGTGGAGTGGGCTGCTGCTTTTTCTCGTGAACTGTCCACACAATCATCTGGGGCTTTGCCATGCTTCTTGCCTATCCAAACTCCTCGTTCTATTTACCCCTCCTATCCACCCACCCAACTATCCTGACATCATGATTCAAGGCGTCTCAAAACTTCCTTCCACAATCCACTCCATTTGTTACCCCTCCACTACCCTTCTCTGCTCACCTCCTCCAATCCTCCTCTGCTCCCCTCCTCCTCTCCCCTCCTCCAATCCTCCGCCCCTCCTCTCCTCCCCTCCCCTCCTCTCCCCTCCTCCACTCCCCTTCTCTCCCTAACCACATTTCTCAGGGGCTTGGCTATGCTCATTTCCAGCCCAAACTCCTCTCCCGTAGGGTATCCAATCCACCTCATCCACCTTCCTAAATACCAGTACCTAAATACTTAACCAGCTGCCCTTTCGCCACGTTTGGACGCGCACCGAAACCCTCTGTTCCTCTCCCTAGAAACAACCCTCAGGGGCTTTGCCATACTCATTTCCAGCCCGAATTCCTCTCCCATAATAACCCCTGCAGCTGCCCTGCTGCCACGGCATCTTGTGTCAAGGCTTCTCAAAACACCCCCTTCCTCTCCCTACATACAATCCTCAGGGGCTTTGCCATACTCATTGCCAGCCCAAATTCCTCTCCCATATCCACCCCTCCAGCTGCCCTGACGTCCCCGGGCAGCTCAAAATCAAACTGCCTGACAAAACCCGCCAGCATGCGAGCCGATAGGTCTAGCCCCAGGTTCATTCCTGCACATCCCCGCCTGCCCGAACCAAAGGGCAGCAGGCTGAAACTTTTCCCGGTCAGGTCAGGAGCGGCAGGATCGAGGAACCTGCTTGGGTTGAACTCATGCGGGTTGATCCAGACCGTTGGATCGTGCCCAAGAGCCCATGTGTTGATCAGGATCATAGTGCCTGGAGGGATGGTGTAACCGCCCAGTGTTACGTTACCACCTGTAACCTGCCGAACCAGGAAGGGTCCCACTGGGTGGTGCCTAAAGGTCTCTTTTAGCACCGCCTGTAAGTACGGCATGTCCTGAACGGGAAGAGAGACCGTGGGGTCAGAATTTCCACTCCCCACTTCCTGCTCTTGAGTTTTCAAACTTACTGATGTGGCACGGGCTGCATCCACCTCAGCTTGGAGCCTTGCCAGCATGTCAGGGCGCTGTGCCAGCTCAGCAAGCGCCCATTCCACGGTCTTGGAAGTTGTAGCCGTCCCCGCCATGATTATCTCAATCCCCAGCATCATCATTTCTTCGGCAGTCACCGCGTCATCTCCCTCCCCTTCCCTTTCCAAAAGAGCATCCATGAATACCCAATCGTCTGCGGCCCCTTTCTCTTGGTGCCCTTCCCTAATGACAAAACTCCCTGCATCAGCAGTCCCCACATCCCCAGCTGCCGCCTCCCCCTCTCCCACCGCTGCCCTCCTGCCCTTCTTGCCCTCCCCACCCTGCTGGCTTTCACCCCCGCTCCCGGTTGCCTTGCGTCTCGTTATAAGCTGCCTCCTTTCCTCGATGCATGCGCGCATGAATCCATGCAGCTGCGGCGCCAGTCGCTGCACCCGGGTATACACCCGCTGGGGGTCCAGGAAACGAACCCCAGGAATGTAATCCGCGATATTGAATGCCCCGCCAACAGAAAACGCCTCCTCGATTATCGCAATCACTTTCTCGCCTTCAGCCTCATCCTCCACTAATCCACTTGTCGATGGACCTTCCGCAGTAGAAGCACCACCGCTGTTGCCTCGCTTTTCGCTGCGGATTGCGGCGATACGCCCTTCCCAAGCAATCTCCATTGCTGCATCTAGCGCCCTTCCGCCTGACGAAGTAGTGGTACTAGTAGAGCTGCAAGTAGCAGCAGAAGCCGTGTGACGAACTGCCTCGTAACTGAAGTGCTTCCCGACGGTTAGTCGCAGAATATTGTTGAGTGCAGCAAGATTGAGATACCTCCGCACTTCCAGACCTGCTGCTTCGATACTGGAGCCCCCATTCATCCCCGTTTTAAGCAAATCTGCAGCAGCAGTCGCAGCAGCAGCGTCAGTTGCGATTGTGTCGAGCATATCGCGAATTTCCAGCTCTCTCACACCCAGATTCGCTTTCATATTCCGCGCAGACAAAAGGTGCAGCATCGCGAGTCGCCGCTGCTTTCGCCAATCGTCGTCGCACGGCAACGTCGCCATGAATCGCCCGTTATTAGTGAGCAGCGCCACAGTGCGAGTGAGCGGACGGGTCGCGCAGAGCTTATCCTTCGTTTTAAGCACCTCCTCGGCCAGCTTCGGCGACGAGACGACCACAGCTGGCTTGGAACCGAACCAGACGGTCAGTATCGGGCCGTACCTGTCTGCGAGCCTTGCGAGTGAACGGTATGGAAGGATGTCCAGGTCCGGAAGGTTGCCGAGAATGAGCCAAGAGGAAGGTCCGGGAGGTAGGGAGCGGAAGCGGCAGTGGAACGAGAACCAGGAGCTGGAAAGGATTGTTAACGCCATGACTGCAATTATAGCTGCAAAAATAGAGCGTGGGGCCGCATCTAAGTGACATGGCGCCTCCTGAAGGAATTCGGAAAGCTTGACGAGGCTGCTTGACGTGAAATTGAGACTTGATGGGGAAAAAAGGCTTGAATTTGCTCCGAACACGGGCTGGGCGTATCTATTAACCCAGCTTTCCGAGGGAAGCACCCAAGTCGCCATAATTCCTCTCGTATCGTAGTCTTGAACTCGCTTGCAGCAGCCGTACGCGGGCACAGGAGCAGCGAGACTGAGCAAGCAGGAACTCCAGTAATTGCACGCCAGCGTTTTTTTCGTGGTTGACGAAGATTAGGAGTTTGGCGAGGGAGGAGCATCAAATGTTGGTGTGAATCCCGAATTTGAAGAAACTCCAAGAGCGGTTTGGTTCAATTTCTGAGACCTGAAGGCGGCTCGGGATGAGCTGGTCAACTGGTAGCACCAGTGCAATCCGTGCTGGCAACTTGTTGGCGCAAGTCATGTCGGTGAAGCGACATCGGCGAAGAAGCTTCGTTTCGCTTGGGCTGTCCATGTCGGCGAGGAGGCTTAGCGATATAATTTCGTTGCGTTGTGGGGAAGGATTTCCGCCGAGATTTTCGCGAGAGGACACACGATAGTGGCTGGCGCGGGGGACGGCGGAAGGGTGGTGTTACAGTCTAGGGGGGTGACCATGACCGACAGGTTTGTGACAATGACAGATGTTGCAAAGAGGAGACGCGAGGAGACTTTGCCCAACCTACGTATTTGATAATCTCTGTACTTGTCCGGTCATCTGTATCCATATGCCAAGCCAATTCCTTCATACCATCCGAGGAGAAAGGTCAGCAAACCCCAGAAGACGTCATAAAGTCATTGTGATATATGAAATGGGAATAATGACCCTGATATAAATTTGACATGAATTTTAACATAGTTTATTATTATTTCTCATGATGAAACACGAAAAACAGGATGATGAAATTATGATAAGCTCTTTATAATGCTCGTTACGAGTAAGATAAGCTCCTCAAAATGCTTAAAGATATCAGGTAGTGCATGTAGTTCAGGTTGCTGCAACGGCAACAGCTTATATTGTACTCCGCATAACTCCTCCAGCACAGCGGCAGTGCACTGAACAGTTCACATCATCATTGTCGCAGCTTGAAGCGTCTTGTCCACCTACGTTGAACCTTGAAACGGAACATGAGCTAGAAGCCGTACGCGCTTCGGGACCCACACACCTGATTCCTTTCTGGTTTTTTTTTACTCCAACTGGCAGCGCAGGACAACGGACAGGCCCAGTACACACAACCCGCGACATTTTCATTACTAAGAACTTCACACCTTTTACCATTTACCCTCTGATCTAGGGCGGCCCGTGGTTGTCTCGAGGAAATAATAGAAAATGCGGACACTTTTCACGGTTGAACATTACGGGCTGCTGCGAGCTCCCATTGGGTTCGACGACAAATTCATGCATAACCGGTTCTGTGCGAAGGGCGTACTACCTTACCTGCCTATGGAACTAAACACAATAACTTAGGGTTTCCATCACCCCAAGACTCAAATTGTGCTGGGGATATTTGACTAGAGAATTTCTAGGGTGTGAAATAACCGCGATCTAAGTGTAGCAGTCGATCAGATGTCCCCCACCGTCCCTCATCCCACCCAACCCCTACCCCACCCACCCACCTCATCCTATGGTGAAGTGTCACGTTTGACGTGGCTGGCTGTTCTGCCGTGGCGTGCCTGTCTACCTCGAAGAACGCGGGAACTTTGCTCGTTTCAGTTCGTCCCGAACCACTTGAACGAACCTTCTCTCACATTCCAGTTTCGCCCTCAATTTGTGGAAAGCAGTCCGTGTGAAGGAAGGCCTTGAAGGCGATGCATCAATTAATGCCAGCTGGACACTTGAGCCAATTACAATTTCCTTTGCCTTCACCCGCCGGCTGTTACAGCTGGTAACCAAGCTGCCAGCACCGTCTCAACTCAGCTAAACGTAACGACTGGGGCAAAACCGAGCCGCCCTTTGTTCCGCTCTGCCAGCCAACCGAACCAAGGCAGCCCGCCAAAGCAAGCCTTCCATACAGTCTCAGCAGAGTTCCTGACCTAACCCTCCAACCTTGGAAGCCTGTCCACGCAGTTCGCACACTGTCTCGCACAGCCCGAGAAATTCGCGAGGCACTCGCTGTCCAGTTCGCAAAACTCGCGCACCCCATTCGCAACGATTTTCGCTGCTGATTCCGCTCGCGCGAAGTTCGGCCCTCCCATCCGTTGTCATCTCCTTCCAAGCCTTCTTTCCTGTGCTTGCTTTCTACAGATGTCTGCTTCGGTTTCGTAGTATCCTTCCCTTCAGCCCTGTCTTCTCTTGCTCACAAGTCATTCCATTCAGCAATAAGAGGAAATGGCAATGCAGTTTTCATGGCCCAAGTAGTCTCCTCTTTCTCCTCCAACCTGCAAAAGTTTTTCGTCACACCGATTACGGCTCTGCGCAATAGCTTAAAACTCGGCACTATAGCTCCCGCACCGCCATCCATAGCTCTCGCCAATAGGACCGCCGAGAGTGCGACGAATCCGCCAGTCCCTCGTCGCCGATCTCGCCCAGTAACAGTTACAGCTTCGACCAACGGTACTGAACAAGAAAGCTCGGAGGATCCCAAGGCGTCGAGCATGGCGAACACCAAAAACGGGTTGGCGAGAAAAGGAACATTTCGCTCAGATTATGGATACAGGTGATTACTGCTCTCACACCCGTACGATGTCCACGTGACACGTGACGCTTCTTTAACCATTGCTTTCCCCTCGGCGTATCCGCTAGACGCAGTCTTCAGTAATCCTGTTGGCTCTCTAACCCACCCTTGCCATCATCGGCTTACCATGATCACTTAACTCAATGAGTAACACACAACGAACCTAACAATTAGCCTCACGGCACCATCAGGCTGATCCGGCAGTCTCAGCTGTCAGTGTATTTGGCAATTCTCAAAATACACCGTCAGCGGTCCGGTAGTCGCAGCTCATCTCCCATCATATCAACCACCGTCTCGTAGTATTCCTCTCGGTTCTTCGTCCGCCCACCATTCCTCTCTCCCCGCTTCTCGTGATTCCGCGTCCCATCTTCCCCCCTCCATCCTGTGAGAGATTTCTGAGAATTCTCGAAAGTCCCGTGCGCCAGGCCTTCCCCTGCCTTTGAGGCGCCTCAAAAATATTCTCGAAAGTCCCGTGCGCCAGGCCTTCCCCTGCCTTTGAGGCGCCTCAAAAATATTCTCGAAAGTCCCGTGCGCCAGGCCTTCCCCTGCCACGGTCGACGTACTCTATCTATCCCCTCCCTGTTCCCCTCTTTTCCTCCAACCCTTGCGCGCAATTTCATCCCTTCCGCCATTTTCCACCTTCCAGAGGTTCCCCGGCGATGGCAGCATCCTCCGCCAGGTTCCCCGGCAATGGCAGCAGCGCACGCTTGGGCAGGACCGCTGCTGCTCCCGCGCGAGCGAAGCAAATCGACTCAATGAAACCGCTTTCCGTTCCCCGTTTTCCGCTCTCATTGCGCTGTGTCCTCCCCCCCCTTCTCCCCCCCCCCCCCTTTCCCGCCAGAGCTTCCCCCGACATGGCAGCCGCGCGCGCAGAGCCACTGCTGCCGCGCGAGCGGAGCGAGTGCAACCTGCAGGGCGGGCACGAGCAGCATCTGCACCACCACCACCACGGCTTCGGAGATAAAACCATCACGTTCTGGGGGTGAGTTGCTCAATTCATCGGGAAATGAAGGGAGATATAAATGGGCCTTCGATATAAGTTTTCGGTGACAAGAGCAGCACTGGCATCACGTTTCGAAGATAAAACCGTCACGTTCTGGCGAACTCAATCTGTCGGGAGATAAGGGGAGATATGGGCCTTGGATGTAGGTATTGGTGGCACGAGCAGCACTTGCACCATAACCACCACGGATTCGGGGAGAAAAACCATCACGTCTGGGTTGAGTAAGGCGATGGGGGGTGGGTAACGCGACGCGTCTAGGAATAAGGGGCGATGTGGGTGTGAGTCTAGACCCAGGTGGCACGAGCAGCACCTACACTACCAGCTTCACGGATTCAGAGATTAAACACCATCACGTTCTGCGGCTGAGTAACCCGACGGGTCTGGTAGTAAGGGGAGATATGGGTAAGTCTAATCTTAGGTGGCAGGAAACCGCGCCGCCTCTACCACGGATCCGAAGAAAAAGCCATCTCCCCCACCTTCCCCCCACTCCCCTCTCCCTTTCCTCCCTCCTCTTTTCCCCCACCCCCTTCCGCTGCTATACGCGCTAGCGTGGTGGTTCCTGCCAATTGCCGGTCTCACACTCATGTGGCTCCACCCCTATCCGTTCCCTGTCTATCTTCCTCCCCCCTACCCCAACACTTCCCCTCCGCCCTCCATTTCTACACAGGTCGTGCGTTTTGAACTTCAATAATATCACGGGACCAGCCGTGGTGGTTCTGCCTCTGCTATACGCACAAGCGGGGTGGTTCCTCCCAACCGCCGGGCTCACGCTCATGTGGCTGTTTTCGTCGTTTGCGGCGACGATGATGTGCGAGGCGCAGCAGCGAATTCCCGGTAACAAGGGCTTCGCTAGGCGCTTCGAGTACTGCACGCTCGTGCGGCACTATTTCGGCGATCGGTGGTACGCGCTCGCACAGATCGGGTTCAACGCGGGACTGTTGGCTTCAAATATCGCCTCCATGATTGTCACTTCTCAGGTACAGAACAGAGAATTTCCTATTTAATCCTCTTCGAATGTCGCCTCCATCGCAGGTACAGTAAATTTTCGATCACTCATATGGTTTGAAATGATGAACTCAACACTGCAGTGGGTTTTTTTTACTGTTTTCAGAAATGTAACAACTGATTTGATGTGAGGAAAAGAAACCAATTGAGGCTGATCAAGAGGGAGCATCAAGGGGCAAGGCACCCCCTAGAACACTATAGTAGGACTCTATTGAGATGGCATGAGTGACTGCTACATCAATCAAAGCTTAAATCCCCCGCCTTCGCTGAAGCACCAACACACCCGCTCCCACCCTCGCCACCCCCCCCCCCTCTCCCCACACACAGTCTCCCCCCCCAACCCCCCCTCTCCATCAATTTCACATCATCCCCCCCTTTCCCGTTCAGATTATGCAGATATTGGACTCTGTGGCTGCCTGTCTTTGTGGTATCAACTCTTGCACCCTCCTGTTCTCCTCAAACTTCCTACTTATGCAGATCCTAGATTCAGCGGTTCACTGCCTAGCCGGCACGTCCTATGGCTGGCATGGACTACAGCCAGTGGCCGCCCGCCTTTGTGGAATCACCACAAGTACACCCTTCCCCCTCTACACATGTGCAGGTCCTAGACTCAGTGGTCTACCGCCTAGCCGGCACCTCCTATGGGATGGACTACAGCCACTGGCCGCCTTCCTTTGTGGAGTCGCTGGCAACCGGCGGGGCGGGAGGGAACGTGTGCGCGTGGGGGACGACGAGTAGCGGTGACTGCAACCGATCGGTGATCTCCCTAGGGTGAGTGAGAGAGTGAGAGAAAGAATGGGTATACATAAAAAGAAGGAACATGCGTGCATGGGGGACGACCAGCGGCGGTGACTGCAACTGTTCGATGATCTCCCTGGGGTTAGTGAGAGTGTGTGAGTGAGTGTCGGAGAGATGGAAAGAGGTTTGCAAGAGAGAGAGAGAGGCGGGGGGGGAGGGAACGTGTGTGCAGGGGGACGACCAGCAGCGGTGACTGCAATAGATCAGTGACCTCCCAGGGGTTAGTGAGAGAAAGAGTGAGAGAGTAAGTAGATGTAGTTAGAAAACAGTGGAGAGGGGGGGGGCGGGGGGTGGGGGGGGGGGGGTAGAGGAGAGAGGAAGGGAGAGGAAATCGACAGGGTGCAGGAGGAAAAAAACGGGGATAAGTTCAGGGTTCAGGGTTTAGGGTTTAGGGGTTAGGCCATTGGCACTGAAGGTTTTGGGTTTCGATTGCTTGACTTAATCCCTCTCTCCCTCACGGCCCCCGTCTCCCCTGTCCACCTGGACGCAACCATGGGAGTCCAGTGGCACTCCATGCTCTCACTTTCCCTTCCCCCTCCCTCCCTCCTCTTCCCTCATCCCTCTCTCCCTCATTTTCCTTTCTCCCCTTACAGTTTCGTCCTAGAAATGCCGGTCTGCTGCATCCCACTCGCCCGTCTGAATCTGGGCGACAGCATGGGCTTTCAGTGGCGTTCCATGCTGGCACCACCTCCACCCACCCATGACCCATGTGCCCTGCGCTGCGCGTCCTCCCCCAACCTGCCTGTGTCCCCACATCCCCCGACCCTCAGTTTCGTCCTAGCAATGACTGTCTGCATCCCCTTTGCCCGCCTGAATCTGGACGACAACCTGGGCTTTCAGTGGCGCTCCATGCTGGCTCAGCTGCTCATCTGTGTGCCCTTGTTCTCTCTTGGCTCACCCGCTCCCGTGCCTCCTGTCCCATGTTCCCCTGCCAGCTTTGTACTTGCCATCACAGCCTGCATCCCATTTGCCCGTCTCAACCTGGACGACAACATGGGCTTTCAGTGGCGCTCCATGCTGGCTCAGCTGCTCATCTGTGTGCCCTTGTTCTCTCTGCTCCCGTGCCTCCTGTCCCATGTTCCCCATCCAGCTTTGTACTTGCCATCACAGCCTGCATCCCATTTGCCCGTCTCAACCTGGACGACAACATGGTCTTTCAGTGGCGCTCCATGCTGGCTCACCTGCTCTTCTCCTTTGCCCTCCTGCCTCAACCCTCACCTCCCCTCATGCCTTGCCCCCTCTTCCCCCTGCTCTCAGTTCCCCCTGCTCTCAGATTCGTCCTGGCAATGACAGTCTGCATCCCCTTCGCCCGCCTGAAACTAGACGACAACATGGGCTTTCAGTGGCTATCCTTGCTGGCTCAGCTGCTCAATGACAGTGTCTTCCACGTGCCCTTGCCCTCTGCTTCGATCTCTTCCCCCTGCTCTCAGATTCGTCCTGGCAATGACGGTCTGCATCCCCTTCGCCCGCCTGAACCTGGATGACAACATGGGCTTCCAGTGGCTATCCATGCTGGCTCAGCTGCTCTTCTCCTTTGAGTTCGCCGCCCAGTTCATCTCCAACCTCCTCCCCGGCTCCCCCAACTACTGCGCTGGCAACGGGCCCGGCAGAACCCCCTTTCTCGGCCTTGATATAAGCCAGGTGAGGGTTGTACTCGATATAAGACAGTTCATCTCCAACCTCCTCCCCAGCTCCCCGAACTACTGTGCTGGCAACGGGCCGGGCAGAACACCGTTCGTGGGAATCGTTATAAGCCAGGTGAGGCTTGGGAACTCGCTATACACCAGGTAATGCATGGGACTCAATATAAGCCCTTCAGTTCTCACCCTCCCACTCATCGCCCCTCTTTGCTCCACTGCCCTTGTTTGTTGTGTTCAGGTTCAAGGAATGTGTGTGTTTGCTTACTCGTACGTCAGCAGCACCATCGACTTGACATCCCTCTCCTCCCATCTCTCATCTCTCGCCTCTCCTTCTGCTTCTATCTTCCTTCTGACCAGGTGCTAGGAGTGTGTGTGTTTGCATACTCTTACGTCAGCACCATCCCCTCGTGGGCCAATGAGAAGAAGCCAGGTGTCAACGTCAACAGGGCCATTTGGCTGCCTGCTTCCGTCGGCTGCGCCCTCAACATCCTCCTTGGTGAGTGATGCGGGAATATTAATACGGAGTTACTTGATAAAGAGCCTGAATAAGTGCAACCAAGGGCGCCTCAACAATGCTGTCCGGCTGCCTGCGTCCGTCGGCTGCGCCCTCAGCATCCTCCTTGGTGAGTGATGCGGTAATATTAATATGGAGTTACTTGATAAAGAGCCTGAATAAGTGCAACCAAGGGCGCCTCAACAATGCTGTCCGGCTGCCTGCGTCCGTCGGCTGCGCCCTCAGCATCCTCGTTGGTGAGTGATGTAGAAGAAATATTTAGAGGGCTACCCAGTCACATGTTATAGGAGCCCCAATGAGTGCACCCAAGGGTGGGTCAACTATGCCATCTGGCTTCCTGCTTCCGTCGGCTGAGCCCCCCCAACAGTTACACAATTACATGCTCCCATGCTCCCATGCTCCCATGCTCCCATGCTCTCCCATGCTCCCATGCTCCCATTCTCTCCCATGCTCCCATGCTCTCCCATGCTCCCATGCTCCCATGCTCCCATGCTCCCATGCTCCCATGCGCCCATGCTCCCATGTTCCCATGCTCCCATGCTCCCATGCTCCCATGCTCCCATGCTTCCATGCTCCCATGCTCCCATGCTCCCATGCGCCCATGCTCCCATGCTCCCATGCTCTCCCATGCTCCCATGCTCTCCCATGCTCCCATGCTCCCGTGCTCCCATGCGCGCATGCTCCTATTCTCCCATGCTCCCATGCTCTCCCATGCTCCCATGCTCTCCCATGCTCCCATGCTCCCATGCCTCTCCCATGCTCCCATGCGCCCATGCTCTCATGCTCCCATGCTCCCATGCTCCCATGCTCTCCCATGCTCCCATGCTCCCATGCACGCATGCTCCCATGCTCTCCCATGCTCCCATGCTCCCATGCTCCCATGCTCCCATGCCCCTATCCATACCTTGGTCCCCTCAATGCACCGCACTGTACTCTGCAGGGCTGCTAGGCGCGTGGGCGTTCAAGCTGGTGGACGACGCGGGCCACCCCTTCAAAGGCACGGACAACATGCTCAACATGCGCCCATTCGTCCATCCGTACCTTGCCCCTATCCATCGGCCCTGTACCCTTCTGCAGGCCTGCTAGGAGCGTGGGCGTTCAAGCTGGTGGACGACGCGGGCCACCCATTCAAAGGCACCGACAACATGCTCAACATGCTGGATGGGCAGGCGGATGCCGCCACCATGTGCGGCCACCCCCATGTAAGGCTTGGTGCTTTCTCCTGACTTGGGATGACTCATACCTTGCTGTGCTCTCGTTAGCACGGAGGATTGAACTCCCTCAAGCCATCCATTCAAGGGCACTGACAACATGGTGGATGGGCAGGCTGATGCCGCCACCACATGCGGCCACCCCCATGTAAGCCTCAATAGTTGATGCTAATTGCATTTAGTTATGTGGGGCTTCTTTGGCTACATCCCGGGGATCCCCATCCTCGCCATCATGGTCCGCTACAACCTGCAGTCCTCTTGAGCCCCTATCTATGCCTTCATTCATTTTAACTTCCCCCCTTTCAATCACAGGTCTCCCCAGCCACCGAGTTCTCAGTGTACATGTGGGGCTTCTTTGGCTACATCCCGGGGATCCCCATCCTCGCAATCATGGTCCGCTACAACCTGCAGTCCTCGGGGCTCTTCTCCGACTCGGCGGCCTTCTTCTGGGCGGTTGTAGCGCCCTGGATACTAACGGCCTTCTTCTATCAAGCTGAGGTGAGAACCGAACGTCATACATACGATACAAGTATCACACTACACGTGCCATGGTCCGCTACAACCTGCAGTCCTCAGGAATTGTCTCCAACTCCTCTGCCTTCTTCTGGCCGGTTGTAGCGCCCTGGATCCTAACAGCCTTCTTCTACCTGGCTGAGGTGAGCAGACAGTCTTGCGGGTTGTCACACGGTGTGTTATCATGAGTGCGCTACAACCTGCCCAGTGTGCTACAACCTGCCGAGTGCGCACCAACCCACTTCCTCCTTCCCCTTCTCACATGCACTCCCGTCTCCCCCCTTGCTATTCCACCCTTGCTTCTCGCCTCAGATGCTCGTTCAATTCTGCAACTGGGTGGCCATCACCTGTCAGGGATTCGTCAACCTGGTCATCCCAGCGCTGATCTTCCACCAACCTCCTCCCTTTCTCTTATGCCTTCTCCGCCTCACGTGCACTCCTCTCTTCTACCTATCCCCCCTCCCCCCCCTCTCCTCAGATGCTCGTGCAGTTTTGCAACTGGGTCGCCATCATCTGTCAAGGGTTCATGCCACTGACCCATGTTGCACTCTCCTCTTACTTTGCGCCCTCCCTCCCTTAGCTTCTTCTCCCCTCCCTCAGTGTTCCTGTTCCCCTTGTTCTTCTTTCCCTCAGATGCTAGTGGGGAGTTCTGAAACTGGGTAGCCATCATCTGCCAGAGATTCATCAACCTCGTCGCCCCAGCGCTGCTCTTCCCGCATTCTCCATCTCCTCCGCTCATCCATCCCCACACCCCCCCCTTCTTTCCTTCTCTCTCCTCCCCCCCCCTCAGATGCTAGTTCAGTTCTGCAACTGGGTGGCCATCATCTGTCAAGGCTTCATCAACCTGGTCGTGCCAGCGCTGCTCTTCCGCGCAGCCCTCATCACCTACCCCACCCCCGAAGAGCTCGAAGGCCGAGGCTACCTCCTCGTTTCCCCCCATCCCTCCTCCCACCCCTCCTCCCATCCCTCCTCCACCTCCCCTCCTTCCTTCACCCCTCCTCCATCCTCCACCCCGCTTCGCACCACCTCCAGCACGGATAGAAGCCTCGTGGGGCTGATTCACACGGTGATTGCCGCTCTTTCCCCCTCCCACTCCTCTGCTTCTTCTGACGCAGCTGCTGCTGTTATGGGGAGTGACATGGAGGGGGCAGGTGCTTATAAGCAGATGCCTGACAGTGCTGCTGGGGAGGCTGGGAAGGAAGGGGATGTGCTTGTAGAGGGGGCTCAGGTGGTTGATTCGGAGAGTGACAGTGGGAGTGTGAGTGAGGAAGGGGGGAGTGAGACAGACCCCCTTACTGCTACTGCTGCTGCTACAGCCGCTGCCACCACCACTACCACTACCACCACCACCACGGCTGCTGCTGCTGCTGCTGCCGCTGCTGCAGCAGTAGCTGTAGACGTTGATAGGAACAGAGAGGCAGCTCAACGGCAGGCAACTATCAGAACAGGAGGAGCAGGAGCAGGAGCAGGAGCAGGAGCAGCAGGAGCAGCAGGAGCAGCGGGAGCGGCAGTGACTCTGATTGGTCCAGGTCAGAAGGTGTTTGTGGAGCCACCTGTGCAGGCAGTGCCCACGTGGCTGCGTGTGGACCCCTTGGTGTTTGCCAACGCGATGGCGTGGACCCTAGGGTCCCTGGTGGCCGCCAGCATCGCCCTCACACTGCTATCGCCCTAGCTACAACCCTTACAGCCATTTCAGCTGCTACAGCCGTTGCAGCCACAACAGCCGTTGCAGCCGCTACAGCTGGTACAGCCTCACGTTCCAAGACCCCCCCCACTCTGCTGGTGATACTACTCGTGGGCGTTAAGAACTGCCACATGGGCGATACCAACTGCCAAGTGGGCGTTTCCAACTGCCAAGTGGGCTTTGCCAACTGCCACTGGAGGAACTGTTTGTGCGGCAGACAGGCTCCCATTCTCCAAACACGTGGTTGTCTTACCACACATACTACGTAGTACCGGTGCCCATCAACTAACACGCCTTCCCCGCGCTTAGATAAGAGGGTTGGGTTGGGTTCACTTGCAGTAGGTGGTGTTTCTTCGTCAATTGCTTGGTCAGCCTTGTAACGCGACTACAGATGTGCTTGCTCAGCACGCTTTTGCTTATGATGATGGAATGGAATTCTGGAAATGCAGTTATAAAAGTTGAAATTTCGAGGAAGTTGAGGGCTATTATTGCCCATAAAACTGATTACACCTCATTTTGCAAGTGTGCACATGCACCTATAGCCTCCATTTTTCCCACGCGAGTTCGAGATCGACCTAATAGCGAAGCACTTAACGGAGCAGTGATGTTCCGTAACGTTCCTCCATACCGCGTATAGCGTCCCAAGTTGATGTGCGATTCACATGAGCTACATCATAAACTATTAAAGCCAGGGACCCAAGTTTACCAACTGTAAAACAGTTGGTTGGGACGAAAACTACTGATTGGCCGACGAGTGGTAGGCACCAGCGAAATCGGATGCGAGTGTTGCAATTTCGTCTACTTTCGATTTTTTCGTCACTGGCCCTCGCGACTCCTGTGTCCCGGGTTGTTTTGGGAGGGACCTCGAAGACCCAAGTTTTGGGACCTTGTTTTACAGCTGGTTTGCGCGCTCAGATTGGCTAGCGAAAGCCAACCGCAACCTGCTCATTCACGCACCCTCACGACACAAAACCTGGTTTTTTCCTATCAATTGTAAAACACTTGCCCAGGTTCGAGAAACTTGGGTCCCTGGCTTTAACGCTGTACCCGATGGATTCGAGTTCACTGAACTAAGTTTCTCACCGAGTCCCTAACTCGGAGGACCCCGACGTCCCTAAACCCTTCCGATTTTTAGCATGCATGCAGCGTTCCGATGACATTCAAATTTCACGTACTAGTAAGGAACAACCGCCAATTTCATTTCACAAACAGCACATGCATTGACCTCCACACAGCATATCCACACCCTGGAACTGTAGCGGATGGGCAATATGAGATGTAGCACTGGTAGGCTTAAGACATGCGCTGGGCCACCTCCTTAGCGAGGATGCGCTCCTTGGCCTTCTGCTTGGCCTGCGACTTGACCCCCATAATGCCGCCGCCCCATTGGCGCCTCAGGTCGTCCGCCTTGTCGTTGAAGTGCGCCTGGGGGGACAGGGAGGGAGGGCGAGTGTTGCCAAGGGGGAGAATAAGTAGGATGGGGTGAGGGAGTGTCAGCCTCGCCACCGCTGCCCCATTGGCGCCTCAGGTCGTCCGCCTTGTCGTTCAAGCGCGTTTCGGGCTCAGGTAATAAGAGAGCGGGGTTTGGCTAGGACGGGAAAAAGGCAATGCGTGAGCACTGAGCACCGACAACACTGCCCCAGGGCGCCTCAAGATGTCCCCGTGTCCTTCAAATGAGGGAGGGCAAGAGAAAAGGGAGGGTGAGAGGAGAGGGGGAAGAACAAATGTGGGTGGACGTCTGCTCAGAAATTGCTCAACAACCCACTGACAGACCACTGACTCTCTGGACTCTCATTCACCTCTGTTGACCCCTGTTGACTCCCCTTGACAAACCTCTGACCTCACTCGGCTCCCTTTTCTGAGGCGCCTAACAAATAGACTCCTCTCTTGGCTCCTAGACTCACCTTGACCAGCTCAACCATCTTGCGCAGTTCGTCCTTCTCCTTAATCTCCACTGCTGTCAGCGCCAGCTGTCATTGACCCCGTTGACCCCCGTTGACTCACCTTGACCGACTCCACAATCTTGCTCAGATCGCCCTTATCCTCGTTCTTCACAGCTGTCAGCGCCAGAGCAGTGGCCGTCTTCTGGTGCACCACCTGCAGAGTGGGCACATAACGAAAGAACCCGAAGTACAGGAAAACTACATGAGCGGAAAAAAGAGAGCGGGGAATGAGCGACAAGGGAGTGCCAGAGCATTGGGCGCCCAACAGCGAGGCTTTTCGGCAGGTGGAGCGACAGGTGGTCCGCCAAGGAGCTCAGGCTTTAAGAAGGTGGTAGTGCACGCCCATCTTCGGCAGAGAGCCGGCAGCCATATCACTATGACTACTGACTGCCTATTCTACAGACTGCCAACAACACCCACCCTCGTGTCCCTGTACAAGTCAAGACTTGCTCTTGACGATGCAGCACTGCACGCCCATCTTGCGGCAGAGAGCTGCATCCATCTACAGCTCCGTGCGCCACTATGCGAATTGCGCCGCTATCCTCACCTGTCCGAGTCGGGACTTGCTCTTGACGATGCAGTACGGCACACCCATCTTGCGGCAGAGAGCCGGCAGCCAGATGACGAGCTCGATGGGGTCGACATCGTGCGCGATCACCACCAGCTGCGCCTTGCCCTGGTGGCCGTAATTGTGGTGAAGGGGGGGGGGGGGGTGGGGGGAGGAGAAAGCAGACCAGGGGTCAGCAGTTACAGCAAAGGAGTGAGGGGATGTGAGAGCCGGCAGCCAGATAACGAGGTCGATGGGGTCCACGTCATGGGCGATCACCGCCAGCTGCGCCTTGCCCTGTTGAACGGGAGAGACAGGAGGTGGACAGGGTGGCGGCAGTGATGATGTCAGCAATGTGGTTGATGCCGCACTTCACCACCACGGCTTCTTAGACTCCTCCGTCGCACCATCCGGGACTATCCCTTTCCACCGCTCTAAACCGCTCTCTCCCTCGCACCTGCTCGATGAGATAAGTGATGTGGCTGATGCCGTACTTAACGACCACGGGCTTCTTCGACTCAACGGTCTTGCCCTCCTTCGCCTAAACCCAAAACCCCTTCCCCCCCCTCTATCCCCGTTATCAGCGTACCTGCTCGATGAGGTACGTGATGTGGTTGATGCCGTACTTCACGACCACCGGCTTCTTCGACTCAACGGTCTTGCCCTCCTTCGCCGCCTCAGCCGCCTTCAGCAGGCGCTCCTTCTTGGCCGCGCGGTCCTCGGGGCGGTACTTGAGGAGAAGCTTGAACAGCGAGGTGGCTGTCCGTGCGCCAGGGGAAAAGGGGCGGCAGGGGAGGGAAAGGGGAGGGAAAGGGGAGGAAAGGGGGTGAGAAGAGGGGTTGGTTTCAGTCGCCTCAGCCGCCTTCAGCAGGCGCTCCTTCTTCGCCGCGCGGTCCTCGGGGCGGTACTTGAGCAGCGGCTTGAACAGAGAAGTGGCTGGGTGAAAAGGGGGGGAGACGGCGGGTAGGGGTGTGGGGAAGGGGAAGGGGAAGGGGAAGGGGAGACGACTACGGGGTGAGTAAGGGGAAAACGTCGCCTCCGCCGCCTTCAGCAGGCGCTCGTTCTTCGCCGCACGGTCCTCGGGGCAGTACTTGAGCAGCAGCTTGAACGGCGAGGTGGCTGGGAGGGGAGGGGAGGGGGTGGGGAGGGGCACTGGTTGAGCACCCGGCGCTGCCGCTGCAGGCGCGCGTGCTTCTGACGCGTCTAACTTATAACGGGGCAACCCTTACCGAGGTTTCTGTCGAGGGTTTTGTTTAACTGGCTGATGGCGGGCGGCACCTTGAGGCGCTGGTTGAGCACCCAGCGCTGCCGCTGCAGGCGCACGTACTTCTAACGCGTCTATCTTATAACGGGGCAACCCTTACCGAGGCTTTTGTCGAGGGTTTTGGTGAACTGGTTGATGGCGGGCGGCACCTTGAGGCGCTGGTTGAGCACCCGGCGCTGCCGCTGCAGGCGCACGTACTTGGGCCACTTCACGAACCGGTGAAGGTTCTTCTTCGGAGGCAGGGCTCCGCCGATCCCGAACGTCTTGGGGCGCCGCTCGAACAGCGGGTTGGTCACCTTATCGGACTGGGGGAAATGGGATGGGGGGAGGGCGGGGAGGAAACAGGAAGCGGGGGGCGGGAGGGGGGGCGGGGGGGGGTGGATTCTTCTTCGGACAAGAGCGCCTGCGATACCGAAGGGACGCCTCACGAACAGAGGGTTGGTGACCTTGTCGGAAAGGGGAGAGGGAAAGAACGCGAAATTGGGGGCGAGGGGGGGGGGGGGGGGTGGGGGGAGGGGGTGGGGTGGGAGGGGGAGCAGAGGTACTTCGGCACCTCAGCCGATTTCGAGCGACTTTGGGAGCTTCTCGAACAGCGGGTGTTGCGAGGGGGGGAGAGAAGGGCGGACCGGCGCGCGGGAAGGGGGCAGGGGGAACGGAATGAGGGCTTTCCTTCGGAGGCACGCGCTGCGGATACCGACGCGCTCAGCGAATGTTCCGCCAACAGCGGACTGCAACCTGCGCTGTCGGACGCCCGCGCTGAGAAAGACGGGGAACAGAAGTAAGGTTTTCCGTAAACGGGGACGCAGAGGAGTAAGGAGGGACAGACGCTTCATAAGCAGCCTGTGGGCTCGACAAGCGTGTGCCACCTACCTTCTAGCCCCTGGCGGGCCGGCAGCTGCGGGTTTCTTGACGCCTTGAGGTCTTACCCTTCGAACAAACGAGCAATCGAGCAAACAAGAACGCCTTGCGCCAGCACGTGGGCAAACGAGCAATCGAAGAAGAGCCGCTTACCTTCTTGCGACTCAAAATACACCTCGACTCAAAATACACCTCGACTCAAAATACACCTCGACTCAAAATACACCTCGACTCAAAATACACCTCGACTCAAAATACACCTCGACTCGACTCACACCTCGACTCGAAGAACAGCCACTTACCTTCTTGCCCCTGGAGGGGGCGGCCGCGGCGGGCTTCTTGACAGTCTCTACTTGCCCCCTCGGGGTCTTACCCTTCGGCGCCTGCCACCACCACGGGAACAGACGAGCAATCGGAGAACAGTGAAGCAAAATCAGGTCAAGGACATGCGTAATAAAAGGACATGTCGGTTCGAATTAAGGACACGGCGGGCAGCACTCTATGAACCGCGCGTCAGCAGCACTATCAATAAAGATTGAGAAAAAGCACATCAACAAAAAAAGAAGTGCATAAACCAATATCAGCTCTATTGACGGCACACTGTCGTGGCGGGTAAAGCGGAGCGCGGAACGGAGAGCGGAAGGGCCGCGAATCCGAGAACGGAGCGCAAAATGCGGATCGCTGGAACGGACATCACTGCGCGTGCTAAACGTGTGAGACGAATCAAAACTAAATTACATCAGCCATCTTCTCACATCACGCCGGAACGGACGCGAGTGCGCGTGCCAAACGAGATGCCCTAGCGAGGCGCAACGCGGTCTGCGCGACGTAGAGACGAGCTGCAAACTATAACGGCGCGCAGCAA